GTACACGTAATTAACAAAACAAAAAAGACTTTACCAGTCAGTCCAAGTAGACCGTTAAAAAGTGAAAAAATCCAGGCAGTTTCAGCATGCGATGTTTTCAATTCTGTTTTAATTTCACTGTATAAAATACCAAATGATACAGCCATACCTATAGAGACAACATGAGCAAGATGACTCCCTACAACTATTAAAACATTAAAACAATGCCGTTTCATCATTTAATGCAATAATTATGGCGATTTTGGTAAGACGCGACAGACAAAAAACTGGAATATCTATGGTTTACATATAACTGAATTTTATCGCTTCATCGGCATGTGGGCTGATTATTAAATTCGTGAACACTTTTAAATTTATTAGAAATCATTGCGTCGGGAAAAGAAACTTAGGTTTCATTAATAACTTGCTTATTCACAATAAAAAGTTCAAAGTTTATTGACATTCAGCAAAAACATTTGTCTTTGGCCATAAACAAATATATCATTATGGCAAAAACAATACATGTGATATAAATACAAACATTATTAAACATATGTACAATAATAATTTTTACAATCAGAAGACATTTATAAATCAAGAGTATCTATACGTAAAGATAAAATATTTATTACGAATTTTTCAAGATTTAATATGGTTTTCCTATTATCTGAAGACATTAATTCATAAAACACAGAATATAGATGAATTGTAAAAGTAAATGTTAAATTGGCGGAGCGTCCCTCACTTCCAAATGGATAAATTCCGTGATCTATGTATGAACGGTCATTGATATGACGGTAATTTTAGTTAAACAGCATGATATCAGTATAAAAAAATTGCCTAAACGACAGTTAATCTTACTGACACTGACATTTTAAATTTGACTCTGCTATTGAATTTTTAAATAAAAGAAATTTATACTTTAAAAATAAATTAGTTTGGTCAACAATACTTTCAAAATTGATATTCCTAAACATAGTTTTTATGTTGGTTTTTTATTGTGAAGGACAAGTGTTTTATCACATAGTGATTTTATTATGAAAATAACTTTAAAAATTGTTACAATAAAGTTTTAGTTACAAATAAAATAGGGACTATAGTCACTATGTTTGTTAAATACAAATCAATACATACTTGTAAAACGATGGAGCTATTTTCAATTAGAAACGCCCTTCTTAATGTCAAATCCTATATTATAATCTGAAAGTTACAGTTCCTGTTGTTTTTTAGGCTGACTTCTGTATATAACTTAATGCGTGTATTCAATAATCAAATCAAAGATATTCACATTAAACAAATCTTTTTAACAAGATTACATTTGAGAAAAAATGCTATGCCACCGCATTAATACAACACTAATTTTTAGGAACAGAAGTTTTTGTCTTCTATATAATTGAACTTTTTCATATTGCAGTAGTGTCTAGGTTATTTTTCAGCTTCTCAAATGAGAGACAATATGCAGATATTATGATTTTATAATTTTTATTCATCAATATAAGTCTTTTGGCACCACACGTTTCCCGCTACCTTGTTGTGTTACATAAATAAATTTTGTATTATTAATGTTTTAAAATTATTTATTACGTATGTTAAATATTATTTTATGCTGTTTTATTGAAATTACCTTTAGTGTGGGAGGTGTGGGATCCGATAAAACTCCTTTCGAGTATTTCTCCCATAAGTTCCTACAGTGTTTGATACTGTGGGAAATTTTGCGTATTTAAGCGTTGTTTTGATGTAGGAACGACACTCCGCAACTAGCAAACAAGAAATACATTCAGTTTCTGTATAATTTCATCGATCACATAATAATAAATTCAGAGCTTCATACTTTGGTAAATTTGGTTTAAAATTTATTAAAAAATGTTTATTAAATTCCTTAAATAATAAAAGTAATTGTTTCATATTTAGAACTTATCATTTGTATTTTGTCTGTTCGAGAATCAGCGGCAATTCTTTCAAGTAAGCTTCAAGTTAAACTTTATATAAAACGCTGATTATTTTTATCTTTAGTAAAGATTTAAACTTAAAATATAGTTTTAAGATCTAAGTATCATTATTTTGTCTAGATTTATATAATTCAGTAGCTGTCTATTTTTTTCTTAAAATATTTCATTCATTCCGTCGCCGACACCTCCCCACACACAGAGATTTTATGAACGTTTAATAATATTTCGTGATTGAATTTGAGATTCGTATTCTGTCGCTTAGATTTACTGCATAATTTTGCTTAAGAAATATTGTTGAGGCGCTCGGAAAATAAAATTATAGAAAACTTGAAAGCGTATTTATTTATTATATTAATATAAACCATTCAATTGTATAAACAAGTCCTATCTTTATTTTAATGCGTTGTCACCCTATCAGCATCGAGCTATAGGGATATTGTGATTATCTATGTCCGTCCATGCGTCCGTCTTAAACAGCATATGAGCGTTCACCTATAAGTACGTGTACGGCCCTCATCTTAGAAAGTATAATAAAGTTTCCCCGTTTTAAAGAGAGCTAGATCTACGTCGAACAGCAAATATTGTCATATAAAAGCCATCATCCACCTGCCGGCTCAACACATATATGTGATCGCATATTGTCCGTTTAATAACATTTGATTTTCATCAGCGAGTCCCATGATTGAGCGCTACCAAAGATAAATTCATCAGAAGCGGCTCGCAACAATATTCCAGATGGATAGCGATTCGTCCAAAAAAAAAACAACAAAAAAAACCCAACAAAACCGCATTTAACTGTGTACAAAATAGATGGACTATTAGCATTAAATAATAATTCCGTGACTATGATGCTTGATACACATTAAATGTTATAATTTTAATTCTTAAAAGCTAAATTGTCGGTGTTCAGTTCAAGTTTCCGAACTTATTCACTGCCCACATAGTTGAATCGTCTTTTCTTCTGATGCTGCTTAGCCGTTAGTAAAATTACAATGATTTAGTATTTTTGTAGAAGGCAAAATACAATTTTAGTTGCCACTTGCTTACGTTTGGCTATGTTATGACAAATTAGTTTGCATAAAACATGGCTTCCAGCGTGTGATTACGTCAAAAATCTAAAATCCTTTGAATTAATTCATTATTAAAAAATAATAAATAGAGGATATTCAATGTTTTTCTATAAAAACAGGATTTATTTTCATCGAGTGGTATGAAAATAAATATTTCATGAGTGGCGGTAATTTTCATACCACAAGAAAAAAACTTGAATTTTCTGTTTACATGTATTATATACATTTTTCTTTTTGATAATACAATTTGAAAGATTTCCCTTTAAAGTTTGTGAATTGACTGAATTTAGAAGAAAGTAGTCCGGCATATTTTTCACTGCGGTTTATTTATTTTTTGTTTTGATATTTGCTTTTATTCCATTAAACATGACTTAGTTATCTAATTTAATAAATTTTCATGTTAAATTACCTTTACAGTGCCTGGTCTTGTCTGGTGTCCTACAAGGCTCCTTGCCGGTGGTCCTCTATTGAGGATGCGTTCATTGAATGCCGCCCTTCCTTGTTGATCTTGTTGTTCTTATTTTAGCAATGGTCAGGACAATGCAAATCAGTTGAAGTGTTTAATTTGTAACAATTATTTATACCTTTTAGGTCTGCAACAGAACTGCAGATGGGCCTTCGTGGTCCAGTAATTGTTGTTAAACTTGTCGTGCATTCAAAACCTGCCAGGGACTTTTGGTTTGGTTCTTTCATGTAAGGAATCTACCTGGCCTAGCGTACGGGAGGTCGATGGTTCTACTCAGGTGCCCATTTGTGCCTGAAATAATGCATGGGTGCACCTGATGTCTTCCACCACCAGTTACACTGGAAATTTGCCATGTAACATGTAACCTGAACAGTTTCGGTATACTTAATCATTAAAGTTTTATTGAGCACCTAAAACTCACTTTTTAACGATGAAAATTACCATTCTGACGAGTGTTTTGCAGTATATACAATAGTTTTCCGTCGAACTCCGTGACAGTTATTACAAGAACTCCTTGACAAGTTATCATAAGAACTTCATTCCTCGTGTAACACTTCCTCTCCCTTGAAGGGGGGGCATAAAAAGAAAACGATATTCATGCACATTTTCTGTTTTATGACTGTACCGAGATGGCAATAAATACATTCAGCCGACGTTTAGTCCGTGCCGATGAAAACGAAAGTAAAAGGTTTGATGATTTTATTAACCTGATTATACGGTTAATGCACAATGTATATTAATCTTCGATAAATGTTCGGTAAATTTCGCGAGATTTACGCAACAAGTAAGAGATTAAATTTAATCGTGATAGCGCAATACAACTATGTTTCTAAATGTCCTACGTGTGCTAGTCGCATAGATTTGACCTAAAATATGTTTTTAATCTTGTTATTTATGTAATATAATATCAATATATTAAAAATATTAAAATAGAAAATACAATTTTGATTTTGGTACTCAGTACATTCATATTGATATTGTTATAGACAATAAAAAAATCTATTTTATTTTTCTAATATATTGATATTATATTACATGCATAACAAGATTAATGAATGCGACTAGCACCTTTGGTCGCGTATGTATGCCTTGCATGAATTATCAACATTGTTATATTTTCAACATTATTGGACCTATGATTGTTTTTCACTTTGTGCGTTTTGTTAATCAATTATGTTTTGCACTTATTTTGGTTAAAGTCTTATAGTGTCTTTTGAAATAACTTTGTTAAAGAATAAATATGTAAATTTCATTCGGATTCAAACCAATAAATGTTATTTCAATTCCGTAAAATACAATACCAAACGAGACTAAACATTGTTTTTAAGTTGCTTCTGAGGATCCACAGATCTCTCGTATATAGGCTATATGTGTGCTATTGCAGATGTGACAACGACCTAAACATCAAGCTAGTGTGACTTCTCAAAACATTAGTTATATAATAATACTCCATACTACACGGACAGAACCGAAGTGTGACCGAATATTTTCAAAAATATGTGTTATAATGTATTCCTAATTGACAGATAAACTCAAACTATATATATCAACATACTATATCATCACCATCGCATACAGTCGATACACGCTACTTTATTTTATTTTAAGGTCTCCTTTGTCGCGAGATATGTTCATGCAACAAATATCAACATACACAGATATTTCATGACTAAGAAGTGAATTTAATCAATGGTGATATTTTTGTGAAACAGTTTTTTTTTGTTCATCAATGAAGATCACTGATGTTTATTCAAAATAAACTTGCCAGGAAGCCACATACAGTTTGACCTTAAATTTAATTTATACAAGTAACAATGACTATATAAAGACACTTGAATGATTTACCAAAGTGCGACTGAACGTTCTTTTTACTTAAAGTTTTTTAATGTCTACTATTAAACTAAGAATGAATGACACCATTATTAAAGTATTTATTGTATTGGGGAGTCATTTTGGTCATATTCTTTCAATTGGAATGAGTATTACGTTTGGTATTCTATACAGTGAAATACGAAATGATTTTAAAACTTCACATTATGAAGCGGCCTGGATAGCCTCCATATTTAATGGATTAACTCAAATCATTGGTAAGTTCTTTTATTATTTATTTATTTATTTACTTATTTATTTATTTATTTATTTAAAATTTTGATAAGTTGACAATTTAAACTCGACTGAGTTAATACAACCTTTGGTAATAAAAAAGTAGTAAAATTGCAGCTCCCAACGAAAAATATATTCAGTACCTATTTCAGGTTTACCATTAGGAGGTGTACCAATATCTATTTCAAGTTTACCAATATTGGTTTCAAGTTTTCCGTAAAGCCTTATACAAATGACATCTTCAGGTTTACCGTAAGGTCGTACACATACCAATGCCTATTTCAGGTTAACCGTAAGGTCTTATACCAATACCAATTTCAGGTTTACCGTAAGGTCTTATACTTTTACCTATTTCAGGTTTACCTTAAGGTCGTATAACAATACCTATTTCAGGTTTACCGTAAGGTCTTATGCCAATACCTATTTCAGGTTAATTATCAAGTCCTATATATGTGCCACTTTCTATTTCAGGTTTACCATTAGGTCCTATACTTGTAAAAGTACAAGAACGTTGGCTCACAGTTGTGGGAACTTTACTTCTTGTAGTCGGAATGATAACCAGTAGTTTTGCCTCCGCAATCACTACTCTTTATATAACATATGGACTTATCAGTGGTAAGTTAAAATAATTCATATTTTGTTAAATTGAAATCCAAAGTATTGTAACCTTAAATTTGCTAAATGCTTGTAAACCAACTAAACTACAAAACTGTCAATATAAATTATATTTCATTTCATTTCATTTTATTGGCAAATCGGCAAATAAACATTACCTTTGGCCATTCACAGAGTATCATGACAAATATGGCCAAAAGTTAAATAGTTACAAACATTACATCATACAATATATAACAAAAAGAGTACAAGAATGAAACTAATTAAGAAGCAGTTACATCTTCCAGAGACTGTTGCCTCAACTTAAATGCATTATGAACATAGTGAGCACATTTAAGAATAAGCTTTTTGTTATTAGTGGACAATATAGTCGAAAATTTTTGTATAGTTGGCCATGAAATGTTTCCTAAATATTTGGTTCTTATAACAGTATAAATTGGACAACATAAAAGGAAGTGGTATTCTGATTCAATAGAGTTATATATACATGTACATAGTTTACATTTGCGATCGTTTCTATCAATGTTAAAAAATCTTCCAGTTTCTATTTCTAAGTTATGCGAGCCTAGTCTGAAACAAGCAAAGTCTTTTCTTAACACATTATTTGTTAAAACATCAAGATATTTTTCATAACAAAAAGAAGTTTTAAATTTTCTGTAATAATCAAGCTTGGGCATATTTTGTATAGAAGTATTCCAGTTCTGTAAATATTGGTCTCGCAGACGCTGCTTTAACATTGGCATATAATTAAAATTTAAGTTAAAGTTAAGCCAAATATCACTACAACCTAAGCTGTCTAACAAGCGTTTTATACTGCTTGCCCAATTACAATCAACATTTCGATTACACTGGTCTACAAACATGTTGTACATTGGTGAGTCCTGGTTTTTCATAATTTTTTACTAGAATTTAAGAGTTCTTTCTTTAGAAATAACAGAAAGAGGAAATCTTCCTAACTCACCAAACACAGCAACATTCGGTGTTTGCTGACGTACACCAAGTATATACTTGCAAAATTTAACATGAATTTTGTCTATTTCTTTACAATCATAAATACCCCAAACCTCTGCATTATATAACAAAATTGCTAGCACCATAGAATCAAAAAGTGACATTTTAGTTTTTATATCTAAATTTACTCTACTGAATAACCCTAACAAACAATTGTATGCTTTCAAAGCTTGTTCAGACAGCGTAATAGCAGCAGTTTTCATATTATCAGTGTATGTAAAATTTACACCTAAATAGCAAAAATGGTCAACAACTTCAAGCATTTCACCATTTATAAACCTTTGAAAATGATGTCTTTGTTTACGTTTTTCAAATATACATATTTTTGATTTATTGACATTTATTTTTAAACCCCATTTCATGGAATAACTATAGACTGCATCTAACTGGGCTTGTAAGCTGTGCGGGTCAGTGGTAAAGAGCGCTATGTCATCAGCAAATAGCAACATATACATAGATAACTGGTTAAGATCATTGTCAGTAAGAGAGTTATAATCAATGTTGTCACATATATCATTTACAAAAAGGATAAATAAAATCGGCGAGAGTGGTTCCCCTTGTTTTAATCCAAGGGTAACGTCGAAAAAATCAGAGAGAGGCATCGAAGATGACAATTTTACACAAGAGGTAACAGATGCATATATCGACTGTAACATAGTTAACATTTTACAACTTATACCAAGTTTCAAAAGCTTTAACCATAACGCATCTCTAACAATAGTATCGGAAGCTTTCTCGTAGTCGATGAATGCGCAATATAGTTTCAATTTACAATTGACTATATTTTGAATAATAGAATGGAGTAAAAATACACAATCTGTTGTAGACCTATTGTCTCTAAAACCGAATTGAGAATCATTAAACATTTTTTGCTCTTCACACCATATGTTTAATTTATTTCGAAGAATAAGTGAAAATATTTTAGCAAGTACATTGACAAGGGTGATTCCTCGATAATTGGAAGGATTAGAGATATCCCCTTTTTGTGTATCGGAACAATAATACCTTTAGACCAGGCACTTGGATAAATTCCAGTATCAAATATTTTGTTAAAAAATACAACAAGGTATGGAGCTATAAAAGTGTTTGCATCAATAAAAAAATCTGCTACAATTTTACTATAATCAGCACTCTTGTGTCTCTGCATAGAACGTATTGTTTTAGAGACTTCCTCTACAGTAAATGCGCAATCTAATTTATCAATAAACAGCTGTTCGGGTCTACTATTATGCTCATTTTCCTGAGAATAATAAGGCTGCTGATTGCTGGAGATATTCTTAAAATGGTCTACAAAATCAGAAATATTAACATCAGATACATTTGTTGAACCCTTATTTCTAAATTTATTTATATACTTCCAAAATTTCCTTGGACTATGTTTACTCATGGAAGACAATTTAACTTTTTCCTTGTAATTAAAGTTACGTTTTGCTTTCTTTTTTACATTACAAAACATACGCCTACTATTCAAAAAGTTAGCTCTATTTGCTTCAGAAGGATTATTATGGAAAATTCTTTTATTCTTCAAGAAAGATGTTTTTGCCTGTTTACAACTATTGTCGAACCATGGCACTTTTTTAATTGCTTTTTTAGACTTTTTAGTGTGAAAAGTTTTACCATTCATTTTAAAAGATATATCATATACAATATCTGTAAAGTTATTTATACACATATCAATATCAATTTCATCCGAAGCTAATTTAACCGACAATTCATCCAATAATAATTTTTTATCGTTCAACAAAGATTGAAATAAATCTGGATCAGTATCAGTCCACACAATTTTATCATAAGTTAATAAATCAGTGTGATAAAATATCATATGCTCACAATCTAATGAAAATACAAGTGGGCAATGATCAGAAAATTCTGTCAATTCCAATATATTCATATTTGAAAAACTTGCAAAATTTCTATAGTCAGTTATCAAATAATCGACAACACTAGCCCCTTTCACATTCCGACTGGCATTGTAGCAAGTAAAATCTCCTCGTTCAAGGCGACCGTTACAAATTAAAAGGTCATTTTCTTTGCATAAGGCTAACAGTTTATTTCCGAAGGCGTTCACAGTGTTATCACGAGAAAAGCGTGCAGGTATTGCTCGTATAGATCCATCTTCATTCGGCATATCAATGTAACGGTCGAGGTTAATGTTCTCAACATAATCCAATCTTTGACCTGTCCTGGCATTCAGGTCACCTGTCAAATATGTGTCACCCCGATATTTATACTTGATGATATCAGCGTTTAATTGCTCGAAAAAGTCAAATTGATATAATTCAGAGGAAGCACGTTTGTACACATTAGATTCATTTGGCGGAATGTAACAAGTACATAAATACTGGTCATTTTCGGTCCCAAAATATTCTTTCTTTAATTTAATCCATACTATGCCTTTCATATTCAAACAAACAAGCTCAATTTTGTTTATATACTTATCTTTGTAATAGATAATAATACCGCCACTAGAGCGTTTAGCCTTTTTATTAGATTTAGGTCTAGGACATGAAAAGTGATGATATCCATCTATTTGAATATTAGTTATTCTAGAATGCCAGGTTTCAGTAAACAAGAGCACGTCATATTCATTAACTAAATTCAGGAAGTCACTTTCAGATAACTTATTTATAATACCTTGAACGTTCCAGGATAACACTTTAATATTTTGCTGCTTCTCGGCATTATCCTAGTTTGATGGTGGAATGAAGCGCTGGCCATTTATAAAAAGTTTATCGTAAGCTAGGACAGCGTTCTTATTCTGCTCCTTTGCACTTACAAGATGCGGAATGAGTTTTCTTCTGCGTTCTTGTATTATCTTAGGATATTGGTCGCCCACTTTAATGCCAGTTTCCTCTTGCTTGGAATAAGCGGTCTGTTTAACAGAAAGTTTATCTTGAAAAAAGTTAAATTTGGCGACAATAGGTCTGGTCTTAGTGGCGGAGAAACTGCCTACACGGTGCGCACGGTCTATTTTTACATTATGTCGAAAATCAGGCATGCCTAATTTGTTTACACAGAAGTCATATATTAACTCTAAACATTTTTCATTCTTGCGCTCTTCAGGGGACGACAACTCTTTAAAATTGTAGAACATTAAGTTGTCTCTCATTGAGCGAGACTGAGGATCCACAAGCTCATCGGACAATCTGCTATTTTCGGATTTTAATTCATCAAATTCGCGCGAAAGATTGGAGTTGGTACGCTGTTGGTCGTGGAGGCTTGAATCTATTTTGGCTTGTTTCTGACTTATTTCATCACAAATTTGCGCATCATAATTTCTGCTTGTCTCTATATCATTGATTTTGCGTGACGATTCGTGTAATTTGCTTTCAAGTGTGGACACTCTATTGTCCATTAAAGTTAATTTTTGCGACATAGTTGTGATCTGGCTTAACTTAAATTTACTAAATGCTTGTAAACCAACTAAACTACAAAACTGTCAATATAAATTATAATAATAACTATTTTCTTTGTATACAGCTGGCAATTATGTCACAAAACATAAATGTCGGCCTGACATATAAAACATTTTTAAACACTGAACAAACAATCGCTATTTGTTAAACATTCTAACACAATAGACATTTTAAGTGTATATCTGTTTTGCTTCAATTAACAGGACAATGCTAATGACTCGTGTCTTAAAATAATGGTTTGAATTTAAAGAACAAATGCATTATCAAACTTAAATCATGAATATCAATGACAGGTTATAAGACAATGTGATATCCGTGGTAAGTCCGAAATCTAAGCCAGTTTACAGCATGTAATGCAATGGTTGTTGGAAACATTTCATTCTTCTTTAATGCAAATAACATGGTGTGCCCCTTCTCTGCAAATTATATTATTAACATTTTGAAACATTAACCTTAAGTATAATGTATAAGCAGTCTAAATTTTCATTTCAGGACTTGGTGCTGGAATCATTCACTACTGCTCAAATACTATTGTAGTTCGTAAGTTCAGTGTAAAAATGTGCCCTCGAGCGCTAACCATAGCAAATTCTGGTTCCGCCATTGGCTCTTAATTTTACCACCTTTAATTTTACGATCTGTATTCAACAGTACGACTGGAAGATTACATTTATTGTTCTAGGCGGTATAAGCTCTTCCGGCCTTTTTGCTTCATTCGTTTCTTCTAACAATAATAACAACGATGACGATAGTGATAATGTTGAAGTAAGAAAAGCTATGATAGGAATTTTGAAAAATGTCAAGTTCATGGTCTTCTTCGTTTCGAATGGTATAGCCGCTGCGGCTTTGTTTGGCCCTTCAACATTTCTCCCCGACTTAATGCAAGAAAAAAAAGGGACTAAGCAGTAAGGAAATAGCCGTTTGCATCATTGTTATAGGCGTTGGTAATCTTTTTGGGCGCCTTATTTGTGGGGCTTTTGCATCAAAGTTCAACAATCAAGTTGTATGGATTTTTAGAATTTCACTTCTTGGATATGGTGTTACATCTACTGCTATGATTTTGGCAAAGTCGTTGCATATATTTATGGTATTGTCGGTACTTGTGGGACTTTTTTCAGGTACGTAAATGTTTTGAGATATTTGTTAAGGTATTCAGCATCTTTGTATCTTGTAAATGAAAGCCAGTTGGAGACAGGTTCATTTACGTCCTGATCATGCAGAAAGGTTCACTTTCGTCTTGAACATCAAAACTGGAAGTATGAGAGCTAATTTAGATATCTGCAACATCTAAGTCAACAATTCTTAAAAACAATTGAATAACTTCACCTGTGTATGCCATTCGATAAAAAAGATAATAATGGTCAGTGAAGCTAATAATACAAACATTACAGGTGACCAAGTAATTTATTATCGAATATCTGCTTATCCCTTACCACACTTAATATCTTCAATGGACGTGTTCATTTTCCAATTTTGACAAGACCATTAATAATTTTAAGGAATATTTAAAATATGATAAATTGACTGAATGGCGAACGGGTACCTGATCATGGTCTGCACTGATTGTGTGGGAAAATTTAGTCACCGCTAGCTGATTAAAAATTAACTTCTTTTTTAACTTGAAAAAAAAAACTAAGTCTATAAACATGCTCAAATCTGTCACTTTTATTTCAAAGCTAATGTGGTTTCTTTGTCGAAACAGCAACATTTTATTACAAGTATATATGTGGAAAACTTTATTTGTTTTTTTGCATGTTAATACAAAACAATTGAGCAGATTCACAAACACAAGCTGTTAGCCTTTGTGTTGAAATACATTAAATATATGTAAATAAATATTCGCAAAGTGACTAAATATTGAAAGATGTTATTTTGAATTCAGGGGGCTATTTTGGATTGTTTACTGCCGTTGTTTCCTACTATCTTGGAAAGAAGCAGCTCCCGATAGGATATGGAATGATTTCTGCGACGACAGGAATATCACTCACAGCTGGAATGCCACTAGCTGGTAACGAATTTCATTCACATTAACAATATTTCGTAACTAGTTTAGTAACCACAAATGTTGATGAATAAATTTTGGTGTATTTTAAAATTTTGTAAACTGTAAAGGAGACCTACAAATACTAAGAATTATTGCTACTGATACTGATATGGTACTAGAATGGCATTTTTCTTATCTGGTATTGGCTAACGCTCCATACAAATATCGGTATGCCATTGTAAGAACAGATATGAACAAGAGGGAGCGCTTTTCCACTACAAGGCTATTTTACAGAATCCGTTCATGTAATATAAATCGTCACCTAGGTGCAGTAATGGGTTAACTTTATATATAATTTAATAGGAGTTAACCAGTCACTGCACTAAAGTGACGAAATACATACTACATGTATATATTTTCTGAACATATAGAGTGACTTTTCGTTTTCAATAGGTTTTGTATCCGATTCGTATGGCAATGAGAACGGGTCATTGTATTTGGAGGGTGTATGATGTTATTTGCGGCAATGATGGTGTTTGTCAACTTGGTCGTCGACTTCCGTAGACGGGGAACATGCGCTAGACAGACTGGCGATGAGAAATGCAATGAACAAAATGAATATATAGAAACGACTCATTTATAATATATTTCTTTCATAATGTTTTGACTTATCCATGTGGTAAAATGTTAAAATAATTAATAGGGTTTGACTATTGTGTTCATGTTAACAATTAAATGCATTTTTACAGATAAAATCGTACAAAATATATATCTATTTATGTTATGAATTTTTCTATATATGTTTCTTACTTTTAAAATTCATGTTTTGTTATGAACACTTATATACAATTTTACAGATAAACTATCAAAAGTACATATTTTTGTTATAAATAATTATATACGCTTTTATGGAATAGCTCTTATTGAAATGACATAATGTGAAGGTAAAGTCAATCTAGAGATCAATACTAAATGTCGGAACGATCAATAAAAAAAATAGCTTGAAAAATATGAAAATCAAGGACAATAATTTATTTTTCATCAAATAGAGGATATTGAATGAGAGTAGGTTCTTAACTGAGTTTATTAAACGTGTTGAATAAAACTATATTATGCGAGCCTCTGGCGTGCATAATATTATTTAGTTCGACGAGTTCAATAAATTCAGTAATGAACTTGCTCGAATTTAATATTCTATTTATCACCAAAAATAAAGATGTTTAAAGTGAAGAAAGAATCATTTTTCATTGACGCTCTTACAGTATAACGCTAGTTAGCATCTAGCGCGTCTTTACACTATGATTGTATAACGCAAATGACGTAACGGCAAATTAGAATCTATATGCACGGTCGTGCAATAGCACTTTTACGAAGTCGCAAAAGCGACACGAGTATGTGATAATGTGTTTTACGGGTTTAGGAAGACCTCAGAATTTGGGCGTTATGTTCTTGTAACAAGTTATACAAGTTATATCTTTTGGGTCAAATTTGGCCCAGCCTCCATAGCAACAATTGACATTACATGGCAACCAAAAAAAAACACCCTTAACAACCAGTGCAAGCATTGACATTCCATAGCAACCATTGACTTCCATAGCAGTCATACATTTCCATAGCAACAAGTGATTTCCGCTAGCAACCATTGCCTTCCATAGCAACCAGTATTTAAGAAAAAAAATAACTGTAACTGTGATTCAAAGTTTAACAAAGCTATTGTACTACAGTAAATACCAAAGTTTCATCAAGTAAGGATATTTTTTATTTTAGATTAATTCTTATACTTTGGCCTATGTTTCTTAACATAAGACACACTGCACATTGTCTATTATCTGAGATGCTGAAATATTCACTAGACACTCCTATATTTTGTCAAAATTCAATTGTTCTTCTGTTCTTACTATTTAGTGTTTTATTAATGCGGTGGCAAAGTTTTTTTTAACAAATTGATCTTGTTTTTCTTTGTTAAAAAGATCTCGTTTTTTTCGTGAAAATCTTTGATTTAATGATTTTATACCTGCATCAATTTATGTACAGAAGTAACCATAAAAAAACTTGAACTGTAACTTTTAGATTATATTGGGTATTGATATTGCATTGAAATATTGAATGAAAAGTCATTTTAACGTTTTAGGCTAGTTGGATTTGACATTTAAAAGGTAGGCGTTTCTATTTGCAAGTAGTTCCTTTGTATTGATTTGTATTTAAAAACGTATTTACTAAAGTCCCTATTTCATTTGTAACTGAAGCCTTATTGTAACAATTATTTTAAGTTATTTCCATAATAAAATCACTGTGTGATATAACACTTGCCCTTCGCAATAAGTAAACCCCAACAAATTCTCGTTTTAAAAAACTATGTTTCAATTTTGAGTTTTGATTGTTGTAGAATAATGCACGATTCAAATGTGCAATAATATAATCACGAAGGCCGATAGGCCTAAGTGATTAATTACAAAGCATTTGAACAAAAAACCTTTATTATACTTTAATGAAAAAGCTCAATTTTAAAATCTAGAATTAAACCAAAAAAGTACGACCAATAAAGCATGTGATAATTATAAGAAAACTATTGAATAAAAATATGTATCATGGACATGATTAAAATAACCAAGACCGACAAAGCTCGCCAACCAATATTTAGTAGCCCCTTCATTGTAACTGCCAAATGACTCCACGTTCGAGCGTTCTTGTTCAAATTTAAATACTTTTAGAGCTAAAAAGGTGTGTTAAAAAAATATAAAGCTGTAATCGGCAGAAACTTGTGTTTGAAGCATGAAAAAATATCGTGATTGAAAAAGATGCTGCTTGTATACTAGCGTCAAATTGGATAGCACATATTTTGTAAGCGAATATTTTATTCCGTTTTCAATTTATAATGAAATCGTTTCCATTTGAGACTTTCGTCTGTTCAGATATTCAATTTTCTGATATTTTCGTTATTTATTAGCACGGTTCTATTTGTAAGTAAAGAGGCAAGTAATATCACTTTTATTATTGCATGTATTTTGTTGCTGTTTTATTATTAAAATGCTAGTTTAGCACACAATGACCTCTTTGTAAAAAACACCTAGCCGAGTTTCTTCAAGAGTGCATAAGTACTGTTTCCTTTATTCAATACCTTAAGCGTTGATAACTCGACTATGAGTTTCTATCAAATGTCATTCATTTTTTTAGTAGACCAAACTTACTTCATAAAAAGTATTAATTACTTTTATAGAAAATTTCAATAGCAGTGTGAAATTTAAATGTGTGTCAGTAAGGCTAAATGCCGTTAAGGCGATTATTTGTACGGGTATCAAGCAGTTCAATTGAAATAACATTTCAATGTGACCTTTGATATCTGTTATTTCTTACGTAAATCACCCATTTTATGCATAGCATGTGAGGGATGGTCAGTAACAAACTTAACCGCCACCTTTAAAAGATCTACTACTTTCACGATTCATTTATATTCTTTATTTAATAAATGGGTGTCTTCAAAAAATAGAAAAACCAGATTAAAAATAGTATAATTCGTAACGAATGCTTTATCTTAACGTACAGATATTCTTGACTTATAAGTGTCTACTGATCGTAATATACATAATAATTATAGTATATCCCACACTACCGTAAAAGTTAAAATAACAAACCTATGCTTAATTTATATAATTTAATTATACCTCTACCGGTTTCACAATATCACCAGGAGGATAGTACAAATATTAATATGGAAACGACGTCAACAAGGGACCCCGCTCTTAGTGACTTCAATATATATAATCAAAGCACAGAAGGCGCTGAATTTGTTCGAGTCTCAGAATGTCAGAAGGTGAAGGTTGTGAGATTATAAACCAGTTTGTTTGTATAGTGTCACCAATGCTGTTTCCAGTGTTATAACTACAAGACTAATGGCAACACTAATATTCAATTCAATGTTTATTTGGCTTAAACAAAACAAAAAATGCCTGAACTGGGATTTGAACTTCAGATCTCTCGCTTCCAAAGCGAGCGTATACGGTCAGATATAAGATAATAGCCTGAAGAATAACATATTATTTTAAATTAGAGTTTGTAACCCATATTAATTTCGATATATTTTGTTCACGGTAAACCTGTTGTTTAACACTGAAGTAAATAATCATGGAGCTTAATATAAGCATGTATATCTATAAGAATAACACAATATAAGAAATTTTCGACCAACCGGGAACTATTTTTTCTTTAGGAAAATTAATGCGCCTGTCAATTGACAATCTTTACGCAGTGATCCCCACTGAATCCCAATACATTCTGAACTTTTTATTATACAAAAAAACGAGTAAGTTTCTCTTCCCGACGATGATTTCTAGTTTACGAATTTTGATAATCAGCCCTCATGCCAATGAAGCACTTAAAAACTTATGATAAAATTCAGTTATATGTAAACCATAGATATTCCAGTTTTTTGTCTGTCGCGTCTTACCAAAATCGCCATAATTATTGCATTAAATGATGAAACGGCATTGTTTTAATGTTTTAATAGTTGTAGGGAGTCATCTTGCTCATGTTGTCTCTATAGGTATGGCTATTTCATTTGGTATTTTATACAGTGAAATTAAAACAGAATTAAAAACATCGCATGCGGAAACTGCCTGGATTTTCTCACTTTTTAACGGTCTACTTGGACTTACTGGTAATTTTCTTTTTATTTCATTAACTACATGTATGATATATTTTTAGATCTATACAGAACCCGTATAATGGACATTTTTTAACATTATATGCTTCCAAAATGCTAAGTACCTAAGCGATTGATATGTTTGTTTATAAATCAGCAATAGCTGCAGAAGAACATCGTCTCTAGGCTTCATAACCGTCTATTTTGTTTTGTTTTGCGTGTTTTTATTTTCTTAACGCCACACAATCTTTGATTCACAGAAAAAAACAAAAAAAAAACAAACGAGAAACAGCTTTTTCTAAAAGTTCCAACGTTTCTAACGGTTAAATTTCTATTTATCAAGGAGTCTGCCGTTTATTTTCTAACTCACATATCAATCGTTTTTTTCTTACACTATGTTAGGTATATAATATAGTTACAGAAAAAAAGTATTTTATGGAATGGTACCAAATAATGACAGATTCGTTGATGTTTCTAAATTCTAACTTAACACCTTTTTCCTGCTGATATGCTGATTTCTGTAAAAGTCGGTGGTACAAGATATAAAAGGTAGCCGTACACGAAAAGGCTTATTTAAAACGTATTGCCATGTTGTGCGTTCTTAAGTTTCTTTTTGACTAAAACGTTTTGTCAAATGACGCGTGCACTAATGAAAAACTATATACAGTAAAGTTAAAACTTTTAACGTTTGTTTTTCTTAAATATCTCAAATCAACAATCACGCATTCCATCGAGATAGAAAGTCTTAAAACCATTACAGAAAAAATCTAATAGTTCAAAATCGTAACTTGTAGATTCTATTCACTATTTTAAGCAGTGAACTACTTTCAGATGTTTTTCTTTCTATTTTTGGCATTATCAGATTGATATACTTAATATCAAACCAGTACGTATAATATTATGTAGTATTAGGTAAATATAAACATCATTTAATTCACTAAATGATATATCGATCTGACAAATGATAACGCGATACGTTGCTATGTAGTATTTGAGTACTGTGATGTAGATGAAAGTAGTATTTTCTCGCGTATGCGCAATCTGCGTTGGGCATAACCATTCATAGAAATGTAATAGAAATTCATAGACACTACTGAGGTCATTGTTTGTTTGGATTTTTACGGCACGTCAACACATAACTGGCCATATCGTGCCGAATGCTATAATAGGCTTAAAATGTTATGTAATGTTTTGTAAATGACAATAAAAATGAGTCAATTAGATCCTAGAGTACAAGTTTATCTCTTTCAAATAATCAATGATGTTTTTTGATGGAATTGTATTAAAGAGTTCTTTGAGTGAGTTTACATGATAAAATCTATTACGGGCCTGTGAAAAATCATGACATTCAAGAAGAAAATGTTTGACAGTAAAATTTTCATTACAAGCTACACAGAAAGGGGCATTGTCATTCGTGAGGAGATAAGAGTGGGTAATTTTAGTGTGTCCAATTCGGCATCGAAGAAGAACTATTTGATCATACTGGATTTTTGCTATGAGATGAAATTCTAGTTGCATATTGAAGTGATAGCTTTTTTCGACGTAGATGAAGTGACTGTTCCCCAACTTTCGCAGATAGACTTTCTACAGGTGAGGTGCGAAAAGCACATAAAGCTAATCGTAAACCCTGGTGATGTATGGTATCTAGCATTTGAAGATATGATTTTCTTGCAGACCCATATACTACAGAACCATAATTTAATTTTGATATGATAAGACTTCTGTATAATTTCAGTAATGTGGAAGAATTTGATCCCCAATTTGTACTTGTAATTTCAGGTAAAAAGTAGAAAATATATAAAATAGCTTCTAACAAAAACACAAAAGATGGATTTATATTGAATTCTGCTTAAGCCGGTGCTAAGGGCGTGGACAGTAACCTTCACTTTCCAGTACCGTCCATAAACAGGCTCAATCAAACCGAGCCTGCAACATTTTTAATTTTGTTGTGTTGCACTTTCTTTATGGATTCTTTATTTCTCTATTTTATTGTCATATCCGTGTTATTTGTGCCGTGTGGCGACTGTAAAAAGTCTCCCCGTACATTTAATCAATGATGTTATATTTCCGATCCTTGAAGATCGTTCAGCACGACATTATTGTTGTATATATACATATGTCATGTGGTTCTTTTTTTTTTGGCCATTTTCAACTTGGTTGGTTCCAGTATTCCTACTTGAATACTTTATAATCACCCTTAGGATATGTTGGCTGCTTTTTTTAATTTGTCTTTTGACGTCTAATATGATTGTGATATACAGGCTTCATAACCTCAGATCCCCTTTCAAAATTCCATTTTGTTTAGTTCCGCTCATTGTTTTCTCGTTAAGGGCACAAGCATTCTTTTACTTGGGGATCATACACCGTTTTTCATGGAATGGCATTACTGTGTCACATTGATAACCGCCGTATGAACATTCTTAATTCAAAATTTCACCATTTTCGTGTTAATTTTGAATTGTGCTTAATCCGGTGCTAGCGGGCGTGGACGGTAACTTGCACTTTCCAGTACCGTCCATGAACAGGCTCAATCAAACCGAGCCTGTCACATTTTCAATTTTGTTGTTTTGGGCTTCATGAGGGATTCTGTAGTTCTCTATTTTATAGCTTTGTGATCAAGACAGTCATAAAAAGGCATGGACAAGATGATTGTTTTAGAATTCCCTCTAACGATTACAGGCTGACATTGAGATAACCGTACACATAAGTTAAAATATATATATAAGCAAATAAAGAGGTCAACTTAATTGTTGTTGAAATAGTTCATATAAAAACTTAAGTAATATTTTAGAACTTATGAATTTAAGGTAAGCCCTGTCATACTAGACTGCGCGGTCACTGCGTTTACAAGGCGTTGTTAAAATCAACCAAGCGCCACGAGATCGCAATAAAATGTGATAAATTTATAAAATGGAGACTTAAACCCCTGTCACAATAGTGCGGCGTTTTCGCGGCGTCCAAAGAAAATTCAGATTGCCGAGGTGATCGCAGAAAGATCGCAAGCATCACCGCAGCATTGAGTGGTATCGCATAGAACGCCAAATGATGGCATTTTGAGCATGCTCAAAACAAACGCCGTCACCCGTCGTTCTGATAAGAGCGCAGTGAGGTCGCAAGAAGGGCGCCGTAGCAACTCTGTAGCATATCCTTCAACGCAACAGGAGCGCCATGAAAGCGCAAAAATGATCACCAAATAAACGCCGTAGTTAGCCACGGCGCTTGTACGGAGATTGTGTAGCGTCTATACCGCGCTTATTATACGTGTGCACGGCGCTTTTACGGAGCTTTCGATTTCAGAGCGCCGTGAAATCTCTGTGGAAGCGAAAAAAAACCCAACAGAAGCCCGGTCTTTACGCAGACAATCGACAATTAAAGCGCCATAAGAACGCATAACAACGCCGTGGAAACTCTGTAGTAACGCCATGATCGCAGTGAGGACGCCATGGAGACGCCATGAAGTCTCCATGTCATCAAAAATATCAGATTTTTCTTGCGATCTCAAGGCTTTTGTTAAAGTTAACAGCGCCTTGCAAGCAGTCTATTGAGACAGGGCCTTAAACGTGACCCTGTGCATTTTGTACACGTCTTATATGAATAAACTATATATTTATCTAAATGGCGTCTTCACATAATCATGGCGATTCTGCGTAGCTTCCACGGCGTTTAATTTCGCGATTGTCTGCGTTCGGACTGCGCTTCTACTGCGTTCTTTGCGCTTCTCCTGCGCTTTTACGGCACTCACACGGCGTTCTTTTGGCGCTCACACTGTGCTAAAATCGTTAAGTTCCTTAAAAGCGCCGTTCACACGCAGTATAAGCGCAGTAGAGATGCCGCACAATCTCTGTACAAGCGCCATGGATAACCGCCGCGTCAATTCGGCGTTTCTATTGCAATTGCACGGCGCTCCTGTTCCGCTGTAGGAGATACTACTGAGTTGCTACGGCACCCTCACTGCGATTCCACTGTGCTCTTATCAGAACGCCGAGCGACGGCGTTTGTTTTGAGGATGCTCAAAATTGGCGCCATCGGTAGGTGTTCTATGCGATGTGACTATGATACTGTGGCGATACTACGTCTATGTTTGCGATCTTACTGCGCTGACCTCGGCGTTTTAAACTTTCCTTGGACGCCGTCAGAAAGCCGCCCAAGTGTGTGTTTTAGTTGATATTATTTCACATTACATGTCCCACTCCTTTCACCCTTATGTCCGCTCAAGGTTTTTTGAGTGTGTCGGGGGCCGCGTCCTGTGAACGTTGCCTTTGCCTTGTTGATCTTTATTCGTTTTTTTTTTATTATCATTTTAAACTAGAAATGTGTCGTCACGCCACGGATGCCCCCGCATGCAGCCAAAATTTCAGATGTTAAAATATTTAGTTCCAAATTTGTTTGCACAAACTATTTTTTTTTCATTTTAAATTCAAAGCCCTTAAATTATTCAATGTTAACACAAACCATTTTTATACAAAGTTCAAGGCACTGAAACTATTCAGTAGTGTTAACCTTTTGTAAATTGCATATTGCATATTTGTAGCCACAATAATGGCTACATACATTTCAACTGAAGTATGATTGCTGAAACTGAAAATTCAAATTTTTTCCACCATTCAAGAGAGATAACTTTGTCCAAAATCATTGAACCAAGACCAAATTCAATTTTAAATTGCTTATTCCTGATAAGTATCTATGTCAAATTTGAGTTAAATGTGTACAACCATTGGGAGATAATGAACGGAAACTAAAAATTTCTGATTTCTTTCAAAGTTCAAGAGGGGTAACTCTGTCAGCTATCATCAAACCATGACCAAAGTCGAAATAATTGACCAGTGCATTCTTATGACATATCCATATCTTAATTTTGAGTTGAATATGTACAACTGTTGGGGAGAAAATGAATGGGAACTGAAAATTCCCTTTTTTCAAAGTTAAAGGGGCATAACTCTGCAAAAATCATCAAACCATGACAAAATTCGAACTTAACCTGCCCATTTCTTTGACGTATCCATATGTCAAATTTGAGTTGAATGTGTGATACTCTAGAGGAGATAATGAACGGAAAATGAAAATTTCATTTTATTTTCAAAGTGCATGGGATATAACTGCCAAAAATCATTGAACCATGACGATTGACCACATTCAAACCTGACCTGCGCATTCCTTTGACGTATCCATATGTCAAAATTGAGTTGATTGTGTGATACCGTTGGGGAGAAAATGAACGGAACTGAAAATTTCTTTTTAAGTGAAAGGGGCATAACTCTACCAAAAATCATCGAACCTTGACCAAGTTCGAACTTGACCTGCGCATTCCTTTGACTATCCATATGTCAAGTTGGAGTTGAATGTGTAATACCGTTGGGGAAATTATGAACGGAAACGAAAATTTCATAATATTTTCAAAGTGAAAAGGGCATAACTCTGCCAAAAATCATCGAACCATGACCAAATTCGAAATTGATCTGCGCATTCCTTTGACGTATCCATATGTCAAGTTGGGGTTGAATGTGTAATACCGTTGGGGAGATAATGAAGGGAAACTGAAAATTTCATATTATTTTCAAAGTGAAAGGGGCATAACTCTGCCTAAAATCATCGAACCTTAAGCAAATTCAAGCTTGACCTGTATTTTCTTATGACATATCCATATGTCAAATTTGAGTTGAATGTGTTCAACCGTTACTAAGAACGTAAACTGATGATGACGAAATGACAGAAGGACGGAACAGGGTAACACTATATGCCCCAGCTATTATATGTCGGGGGCATGAAAAGTCATGATAATGATGCGTTTTAGTTTTAAGTTTACCCGAATTTATTCTTTATCCGATATGACTATGATGCTAAACAGAAAATTGTTATGTCACTTACATATATTTTAATAATGTTTCAAAATTTTTAAAAGTTAAGATGGCTAGTGAAATAACAAATATTTTATCCGGTTGTTTTGAACACATGTAAATGCATGTCACACTATTTGGCACTAACATTTATGAGATTAGTATAGGGAAAAGTTACCTAAATAACGATTTTCATACTTTTATGTGACTAACTACAAGTATGTCATGGTACTGAAACGACCCGGCTGAATGATATTGTAAAGTAGCTGGGAAAAGCAAAAGAAAAGAAACAACCGGCCACGTGTCAATCTGTTTGACACTTACTGCCTTGCCCAATCCACTTTCAAAAGAACTGTATGATACCAAATGAATGAGTGTAGTTAAATACTAAATTTATCCACGTCAAATTTACGTCAAGGTGTTATTACACTAGTGTAATATCGTTTTTATTTGTTTGGGTCGTCAGACCAAACAAATAATGGTAGCAGAATTTCAGACCCTAATGTTCTTATTTGCAAATACCGAAAGTAATCAAACTCCGCGAAGCGGTTACTTACGCTGAAATGTTAAGGGGAGATCACTGCGTTAATTTTGTCATACGACAGGCGCATAAATTTCGTAACGAAAAAATAGTTCCAGATTGCTCGAAACTTTCTAATATTGTGTTTTTCTGATATACATGCTTATATTCATATCCATGGTTAATTACTGTTTTCTGGGTGACATAACTTGAAATTACGTCTATTTAAGCCTGAAGTATGATAAATTGTAGCCATCATTTTTGCCCCACGCAGAATGCGCATGCGCGAATTGTAACATCCATAAATATGGAAGATCGTATTGTAAAAAGGTATATAGTTTGGCAAACATTATTTGTTTTTGTTTCTTTGTAAATGGGTTATCAAAGTTACTTGATTTAAATTACAGGTTTGCCATTAGGATTTTTACTACACAAGATAAATGAAAGATGGCTGACGGCTATTGGAACCCTTTTCCTCATCGCTGGAATGATATCAAGCAGTTTTGCTTCCAAGATCAGCACGCTATATGTTACATATGGTGTCATAAGTGGTTTGTTTAATTGCTTATAGTACCATGATAGACATATTACAATTATTTATTTGCGATTAACTGTACATGTTTGAGTGAGCCAATTCTAAATTGCATTATTTTTTCCGGTAACACAAAGTAAAAGACAATTATATTTTTAACCTTTTTAAATATTTCATTGTAATGGGTAAAGTGTAGAGAGAAAACTCATTCTAATATGTAACACACACATATAATTTATCTTGGGGGGAAAATACTATTTTTGTAAAAAAAAGTTCGAATACGCGGTTTCTCTTAACGAAACAAATACTGATTATTTCCTTGAAAACATTTAATGTCTGTCTTACTCACTAGAATGGACGGACTTTTCACTTTATGCTATTGAAAACAATAAAATGTTAAAAGATTAAGTAAGAAAATACTACATGAACCATTCTTTTGTCCAACATAATGACATAAAGTCTAGTGGTAAAGGCACCGTGCATAACATTGTGTGACATCATTTTTCAAATGTCCGTGTATGATTTAATGAAAATATTTTAGTAAATGAAGTTTAATGAAAGGTTTTTTCTTCTTTGATTTGTTTTTATTTTGTTATTATGATGATTATTTTATTTTTTGTTTTTGAAATTTTCTTAAACAATTGTATTTTGCAATATGTTTGAGTTGGATGGATACTGCAAATGTGTGTCGATCTTTCTAATAAATTTACATACTTAAATATATTTCTGTAGGTAAAGGACCTTTAAGTGGCATAATAACTCCTAAATGATTAAGAAGAAACGCTGGTCGTCGTAATTTTTTGGCGTCATTTAAATACCCTTTACATTTATGGTACTATGCTTACTTTATAATTTTTCATATACTCCATTATTAAACGTAAGTTTTTTTTTATTTCATTTCATTGATATGAATTGTGTATGAGTCCCATTAATTCCATCATACAGGTTTAAATGTGTTCATCTGAATGTATGATTTTCATCAAATGGTGCAATTAAAAATGCTTTCTCTTTACGTAATAAAAATTCTATTTTTGAACCAATTTAAACCCAGCTACAAAAATGTACATTAAAGAGATTTGTCTTAATTAATATAAACGTACTTGAACCAATTTAAACCCAACTACCAACATAATATTAAGGAGATTTGTCTTAAATAATATAAACGTATATTAATATTAATAGACCTTTCTATCTTAAACGGATTTCGTAAATGGACTTCGTAATACGGAATAAATTTTGGGGATTTTCTCAAAACGTAAATAATAAAAATATCACTATGCTAAAACTGCAATACAGCGGGTTTTCTTACATACATATGCTAGTTATAGTATTTCTATAAACCATCAACACATTAAAGATGGAGACAATACATGTATAAACATAATTTATATAAAGATCAAATAAAAACAAACGAACAACAAACGAACAAAAAAAAACAACAACAAAAAAACACAATACAAGTTACTTCATTCATATACTCTATTGTAGTGTAAATTTTTCAACCAATGACAAAGAAGCGATTTTTTCAAGATATACTAGTAAGTGTTGGTACATAGTGTGAAAGCTGGACATCACTACTGTCACTGTTGACGCCAAGTTCATTTGTATAATGTGTAGTAACGTTTCAGTGGGAATTGCACGATATCTTGAGCGTTAGAGTTATACAAACGTCGCCATCTGAATGTGTTTTCATAGCGTGGAAGTGACAGTATCCAGAATAGAATTGTTCTTGTGGCTTATCAATAGGTCGAACTAATTTGTGTGATGTTCCATCTTTTGCACCAACTGCAGGATACAGTCTTTCCCAGCGGCCACTAACCTATGGTTGGTCAAGTGATGTTATTCGCAAATGTTATGTAAAATGTAGTATAAATGTGCGAATTTTTATATGTACATAAGCGGTGCACACATTGAACATTGTGGAAAGTGTTACAATTCAGGGATGGGTACATGTAACATCGTATCCATATCACAATCGATAAGATTATATTTACTGACCACTGTAATTGTAAGTTTTTAGATATACTATGCTCATCCTTAAGTAAATTATTTTTATCACATAAATTTATTGAAATCTTCATAATTCTTACTGAATATGTCTAATTTGAATAAAAGAATGAATAAACTATGTATGGAAAGCTGCGTTCCCTATTAAAGATCAAGTAAAATTGGTCTTTTCTTAAAAAAAACGCCAGTTTTTTTAATGACAATATATATTCATAGTGTGGCCACCTATAGTGTGTAGAGTTTAAAAGATAACATATATACTTTGTGTAAAGTCAAAACATGTTTTTTTATATTTACAAACAATTAACAATCAATATTTTCTAATATCAAATTTGAGCATAGTATATCTTTAAGTAATGTTGATATTAATGTTTCTGATCTTTTACCAGTTATATTTCATAGAAATTGTACACATTTTCTGAGAAAATTTGGAAAAAAAAGTTTCTTTCGGAATCATTTGAAAATAAACGGTTGCGAATATCTAGTACAGAGTCTAGAGGTGGCATCATTACGGCAACTAAACATAACCATGTACGGTTGATATATTCTGAAGCATCTGGCGGGGATTGAACTAAATCAGGAAGTGCTAAAAGTTAGCCTTCGCCTACCAGCGTTCATTCTAAAAATATAAATACAATGCAAACAGTATAGTGTTGCAGCGAAAAAAAACATAGTTGTTTAACATAACAAAAAAATTGACGACACACGTATAATAGACAGGTTTTCCAACTCAAAGGTATAACCGTAAGAAAATCGGCAACTTTTGAGGACCTAGGGTTTAATGTTAGTCGGTATAACATATGTACTATTATTGTATAATTCTAACGCTCGATAATTTCGCGCAATTTCACACTGAAGCGTTACTACATTTTATACATACTTTAGTAACAGTGATATGTATACAAATATACATACGACGAGTGCCGGGTGTAACAAATGTTGCAGCAAGTCAATGTAATCGACCGGCTCATCGCAGGAGTTGTGAATCAAATAAGAGAATATCACGCTCTCTACAGGAGATCCCCCCCCCCCCCACTTTGGCGTCAGCAGGGACAGCAGTAATGACATTTACCTTTAGTCTTGCTTTCACAACACTCAAAACTTAATGGCATGTTGGTATTAGCACTACAACAAAGAATACATGAATTAGGAAACTTGTATTCTTTTTATTTTGTCTTTATATAAATTATGATTATATTCTCTTCTTCTTTAATGTGTTGTTAGAAATATTATAAAAAGCATATACATGTACAATAACCGCTGTAATAAATGTTTAGCGTACTGATTATTTTATTTTCCTCGCATTATTGTTTTGAGAAAATCCCCAAATTATTCCGTATTACGAAGTCCGTTTACGAAGTCCGTTTCAGATAGAAAGGTCTAATATTATGCTATTTTTTGACTTGTATTATATTATATTATGTTTTTTGTTTTTTTTTTTCACTTGAAGTTTTCATTGCATTCATATTGTTTTCATAGCATTCATTTTTTAATTAAAATTTTCCTCGTTTATGTCATTTTTATATTTCGTTGGAGCGTGTATGTATTTTTATCAATCTCATTTAAATCATATCCTTACTGTCGCTCCACTACCCCACGCTCGTAGCGAAGAGTAACGGAGTGAAAAGAATGATCTGATTTTAATGAGATTGTATTTTTTATATAACTAGAGTAGTCTATGTCATTTTCGCATTTATTTTTATATATCAAATTTTTATCTTACTTGATCCGATTCTGTATCATCTTTTTTAAAGCGAAGACACAAAGAGTGCCTGTTTTAATAAATAAATAAATAATAAATAAATAAATAAATAAATAAATAAATAAATAAATAAATAAATAAATAAATAAATAAAAATGAAATAAGAATTTAGCAGAGTTGTAAACAAATAGATTGCTCTAAGTTGTTCATCACAAACCACAACTGTTATAAGAATTATTTTTCTTCTTTCCAGGCGTTGGCGCTGGTATAGTACATTATTGTGCCAATACCATAATTGTCCGACATTTTAGCTCAAAATGGTGTCCACTAGCAATAACTATAGCTAATTCTGGTTCAGCTGTAAGCTCTCTGGTATTTCCACCTGTATTGACAGCGAGTATCCAAAGTTATGGCTGGAAAACAACATTTCTGTTGCTTAGCGGTACATCAGCCGTTGGTTTGTTTAGTGCTGCATCTTATGTAGCACCGGACAAAGACATTGATACGAAAATGTCAAAAGAATCACACCATGATGGTAAGTTCATCGCATTTCTTCTAAATGTTTTTCATCATACATGTATAATGATTACACAATAGTAATTTTTATCAAGATTACAATTATATTGATTGATCAATATTTAAAAATGTAATTGATCAAATTATGATTACTCTTAAAATGTAATCGATAACATTCGATTATATTTGGTTGCATTCAAAGTATGCATAGGAGATAAAATCAAAATGTACACTCATTTGTTTAAACAATCGGGGTGTTGATAGATATAGTACACATGTAATCTTATTTTATCTAGTCAAGCTTGATATTTTAGTTTCATTCTATTATCAGTAACTTTGAAATTATTTTGTCGTTAAATCTACAACGCTAAGGGTAAATATTTTTTTTCTGCAATTCTAAACAGTCGCTCTACTTGAGCAAAATAGCATGCAGAGTTTGCCTTTCCGTTCGTCTTTGTTAAGTGTAGTTTCAAGCTCATTATTCAAGCAATTGTCATCTCGATACGAGCGGCACAAACATAACCATTGTTGCAATAAACAAATTTATATACACCAGCGACAGTTAGGATATGATTTTAATGAACTTGCATATACGCCATACATCTGCAGCATTCAAAAGCCTTTCTCTTGGGACTCAGTAGTATGTAGATTGTTGTCTATTATACGCATTAATATTATTGAATTGTCTATATTTTTTGAAACTACATTTAATATCCTCTCCTTTTAATTGGGAAAATGATATGTATCCGTAGACATGTGTTTGAGTTTCCGAATGATTTGCTACGCTTATATAAGATATTGTTTTATGTTCTTATTATGTAATCTAAACACAATATTTATGAAAAAAGGATATTTTTCTTAACGTATTAGACTATGAATAAGTACTTATGTGACAACAAATTTTGACAATCCGATCAGTAATAATAACTGTACAGTAATGTTTTCCAGAACAAAACTAGGCTCAAAATTATTGAGAGATTTGTCATGATGTGGCTTAACTGGTATTTCTTTATAATTAATTGATACAGCATGCGATTTTTTTCTGTTCATAGTTCCTTTACCTGATATATTTATATCAATCTAAACTATTGTAATTTTCTCAGCCTGACCATCTACATGTATTTGGTAAAAAGCTCAAAACTATCGGTTTGGACTTACTTTAGTTGAAATATCGAAATGTTCATGCTCATTGCCAATTATTTATGTCTCAATATAATAAACACTGTGTTTTATTATTTTGTCGTCATTTTATATAGAGTACAAAGATGATCCGAAAATGCACACAGAACAATTGAAAGTTAAGAAGATGGCAATAGAAGTTTTAAAAAACTGCAAATTCATGGTGTTCTTCATCTCAAGTTTCACTGCGTTCACGGTTATTTTTGTCCCTTCAACATTTCTACCTGACTTTATGCGACACGCTCAACGTACAAGGCAAGAAATATCCGTATGCGTCATGGTTATGGGACTTGGAAACTTGTTAGGTCGTCTAATTAGTGGAGCCATTGCAACTAGATTCAACCAGCATGTTCCTTGGATACATGGCCTAATGCTTTTAGGACTTGCCTTTTCGACTTTATCGCTTGCAATTTCGAAATCGCTTATATCACTGATTGTGTTGTCACTGCTGTTAGGACTGTTCTCAGGTAAATTATTTTATGACGGTTGTTTCGTTGTTTATTCATTCTTAGTTTACAGATATCCATATTCAATCTTGTATCTTTTAAAACGTCTGTTTAATGTTTCACATGTTTAGATTATACATGGATGTATTATTGTACATTGAACAATTCTGCTTCAGGTGGATTTTTTGGCCTTTATACAGCCGTAGTGGCACATTACTTGGATAGATCTCATATTCCAGTCGGATTGGGATTGACCATTGCAGCTAATGGGATATCTTCAACCACGGGAATGCCTCTAGCAGGTAAGGCTTGTTCATAACTTACTTTATGATTATCAGGCAGTCATATGAACATGTTATGCTTTGTTTGCTTTTAAACAAATTTTAGCTGAAGTCATATATTATTATTTTATTTCTTAATCGTCGTATATAACACCAAAGTCAATACAAAGATAATACCTGGTGTAAATTGTGTGTTATATTACATATAAAAGTAATTTTTGAATCGCTTAAATTGTTAAATCAAAGATAGATAAGAAATATTTACATGTGCATTGTCCTGCAGATAGAATTGGCTGAGCAAACTATTTATATGTAGATATACAATTTTAGTATGCATATTAAGGTGATATTGTGAAAGAAAACTGTTGTAACTTTCAACTTATTCTGTCATTTATGGTTTCTAGTATAACATTAATGTCAAATGACGTTTTGTTTTAAGGTTTCGTGTCAGATTTGTACGATGGAGACGATGGCGCGTTCGTTTTTGGTGCTTGCGTGATGTTTTTTGCTGCACTGATTCTGTCTGTCAACGTTATCAAGGAATTCTTCTTCAAAGATGATGTTTCCATAGAATACGAAATTGAAATTACACGCTTTTAGTTACCTGCCGTTAACGAGAAACGAAGTGAAAGGAACTTATTTTGATGTAGAAATATAAAATGTATTAGCTGTGTGATTACAATTTTACAGCGTCTTTATGGCATGAACTTAAAATTGAAATCCCGTGTATGACTGCTTTAACACGCTAAAGAACCAGGAGAAGCTTGTGGAATTGGGGCATCTTTCTGTATCTCTTAGAGGACTCGCCCATATGGGCCACTGGTGGCTCAAATACGCACAAATGTCTTAAATATAACATCATTTTATAAACACACTATCAATATTCATTTGCAATCTTTTATTGTGCTAAAATTGAGATATTAAATTGTTTTTTTTTTAAGTAAGGGTATTATCGTGTGCCAAAAGTCAGAAGGAATATTTTGTTTACATCAAATTTATCAAAACGACGTGCATTCAAATCTGGAATCGAGTTAGATCTTTCAAACAAACAATAAACTTCATATGAAAAATCTGTGACAATAGTCAGTGGCCAGGAATATTACTGGAAAACACATGTTAGCACTAACAGATTCAATTAGAGTATAACCTAAATAACATTAAATTCTGGAAAAAAAAACTGGAATGACTCATACATTACAAGAAAACAATCTATGACTACATGGCTCTTGATTTTATTTCTTTGTTGTGTCACCAGGTGTCAAGTGCTGTGAAGCAGCCGTTAAAAAGTTGCCCCGTACTTCACTTGAGTGTTGTTATATTTTCTGGATTGAGTCCAGTACTTGTACGTATTGAGAATTGAGGACCGGTTAAACCGGTGCTAGGGGGCGTGAGAGATGTTGCACTATTTCAATATACCTCATGTACAGACTCAATCAAACCGAGTCTGCAATTTTCATGAATTTTGATGTTTTTAATGCTTCTGAGGGATCACTTTTTTGCCATATATTTATACAGAACAACAGCAGGTGTCAAGTGCTGAGTGGCAGCCGTAAAAAAGTTGCCCTGTACTTCACTCCAGTGTTGTTGTATTTTCTAGTCCTTCGGGATTATTGAGTCCAGCACTTTTAAGTGTTGAGAATGAAGGACAGCTCAAACCGGTGCTAGGGGCGTGAGGGATGTTGCACTTTTTCATTATCCCTCATGTACAGACTCAATCAAACCGAGTCTGCAATTTTCATGAATTTTGCTGTTTTTAATGCCTCCAGATCCAAGCGATCACTATTTCTTTTTATCAGATATTTTTATTTTGAGCTTACCTTACGTATTGTATTCATAGTCCATTTTTCATCGCCTCTTTCTTAACATCTGGTAGTTTTGAGTAAAATTAACCATTTATGGCAAGTTTCTATAATAAAATTACCAAAAATGTGAGTCAAGGGCTAGAAAGGGGGCCATATGTGTCGGTCGATATTTCTTGTTTGTTTTCTTTATTCATTAATAAAAAATTATTTAGTATAAATGTAAGGTGAATACATGAACGTGTTGTATTTACTGTCTGTCCTAAAGAGAAGTCCAGAAATTGCCATGCAAAATATCCAAGTTGTAGCATTTACTGCTTCAGAAGAGGGGATTTTAAAGTTTTTAGTATATACATTTAAGAAAAACCAAATTAATACCCGCAAACCAGTTTTTATCCCAGGACTGAAATTTACACAAACTTAGAAGAGTATCATAAATGGATGCTAATACTAGATATCTACGTCCTGGGATTCGCGCCTCCGGAGAAATTGTAATTTTAAATTCTTTTTTTTTTCTTTAACTTTTGTGACCCAGATATTCAATGGACCAGAACTATCGAAGGAAAATTTCTACTGCCAAGTTGTATCAATTTTGTGTGATTTCAGGGGAGATGTGATGAATTACGAACGTTTGACGGACGAAGGACACCCATAGATGTCGATCCTAAAAGGAAAATGTGCGCAGGTGTGCTAGAAAGCACCAGTGTCCTACCATAATATTAAAAAACGTACCAAGTAGTAATAAAAGTACCTATGCATAACAAGCGGGGAAGTAAATTAATAAATTGACTTACTAAAGGGTGGAATAAATAAATGGTCGGTTCATTAGTATAATGCATTGGCTCATACTGTAACATTTCTACAAATAAATTGAATCAATATATCCTGACTAGGAGATAACAAAATAGATAAATACGGAATCCCTAAAGAAAGCCCAACACGGCAAAATTGAAAATGTCGCAGGCTCGGTTTGATTGAGCCTGTTCATGGACGGTACTGGAAAGTGCAAGTTACCGTCCACGCCCCCTAGCACCGGCTTAAGCAGAATTCAACATTTAAACATGAAATAGTAAAATTTTGAATTTAGAAACATCCGCAGATGTGTTCATACGGCGGTTATCATGGAACCTTCAATGTGACACTTCCGTGCCATTCCATGAAAAGCGGCGTATGGTCCCCAAGTAATAAAAAGCGTGTGCCATAAACGAGAAAACAATGGGCGGAACTAAATAAAATGGAATTTTGAAAGGGGATCAGAGGTTATGAAGCCTGCGTATCACAGATAAGACGTCAAAAGACAAATTTAAAAAGCAGGCAAGGTAACCATAAAAGCAGGCAACCATTAAGGTGACACCTTAATGGTTTATTGGATAATTGCATGTCAAGTGACAGGGGGTATCCATTGTTAAGCTGCTGTAAGAAAAAAAACTTTGGGAATATATGGCCTATTCATTAATATAAATAAGTAAATTTTAAAATCAGCCGTTTTAGCATTTTAGGTGATATCATGATAAAGATTAAAAGTTTGTGAATTTATTGAAATCGTTGAACTAAATAATATAATGTACGCCAGAGGCTCGCATAAAATTATTTTATTCAATTCGTTCAATAAATTTAGTTTTGAACTTACACTCATTCAATATCCTCTATTTTATGAAAACAATATTTGTCTCTTTTTTTCATATTTTTTCACTATACTTTTATTTTTATTATTTTTTTTCGTTTTATTGATCGTTCCGACATTCACTATCAATCTCCAGATTGACTTTTCATTTACATTATGTCATTTCAATAAAGCTTTTCCATAGAAGCATATATAATTGTTTATAACATTTAATTTGTACTTTTGACAGTTTATTTGTAAAATTGTATACAAGTGTTCATAACAAAATTTTAATAGTAAGAAACATATACTGTATAGAAAAATTCATAAAAATAAATAAATAAATATATATTTTATACGAGTTAAACTGTAAAAATGCATTTAATTGTTAATATGAACACAGTAGTCAAACCCTTTTAATTATTTTCACATTTTTACCATATGAGCCGTGTCACGACAAAACCTACATAGTGGGTTTGCGACCAGCATGGATCCAGACCAGCCTGCGCATCCGCGCAGTCTAATCAGGATCCATGCTGTTCGCTTACAGACCCTATAACAAGTAAAGAAACTGATAGCGAACAGCATGGATCCTGATCAGACTGCGCGGATGCGCAGGCTGGTCTGGATCCATGCTGGTCGCAAACCCATTATGTTGGTTTTGTCGTGACGCGGCTCATATGGATAAGTCAAAACATTATGAAAGAAATATATTATAAATGTGTTGTTTCTGTATATTCATTTTGTTCATTGCATTTCTCATCGCCAGTCTGTCTAGCGCATGTTCCCCGTCTACGGAAGTCGACGACCAAGTTGACAAACACCATCATTGCCGCAAAGAACATCATACACCCTCCAAATACAAATGACCCGTCCTCATTGCCATACGAATCGGATACAAAACCTATTGAACACGAAAAGTCACTTTATAGTTTCAGAAAATAAGGTATGTATTTCGTCACTTTAGATTAAATTATATAAGGATTTAACCCATTACTGTACCTAGGTGCCGATTTATTGTACATGAACAGAAACTGTTAAATAATCTTGTCGTGGAAAGTCGCTCCGTCTTGTTCATATCTTTTCTTACATTGGCATACCGATATTTGTATGGACCGTTAGCCAATACCAGATAATAAAAAAAATGCCGTTATAGTACCATATCAATATCAGTAGCAATAACTCATAGAATTTGTAGTTCTTTACGGTTAATAAAAATTTAAATTCACCGAAATTTATTCATCCTTATTTATGGTTACTATACCATTTACAAAAAAAATCAATCTACAAATTGCAAACGAGAATGAAATTCGTTACCAGCTAGTGGCATTTCAGCTGTGAGTGATATTCCTGTCGTCGCAGAAATCATTCCATATCCTATTGGGAGCTGCTTCTTTCCAAGATAGTAGGAAACAACGGCAGTAAACAATCCAAAATAGCCCCCTGAATTCAAAATAACATCTTTCAATATTAAGACACTTTGCGAATATTTATTTATATATATATTTAATGTATTTCAACACAAAGGCTAACAGCTTGTGTTTGTGTATTTGCTCAATTGTTTTGTATTGACTTGCAAAACACTAAATAAAGTTTTCCACACATATACTTATAATAAAATGTTGCTGTTTCGACAAAAAACCATGTAAGCTTTGAAATAAAAGTGAGCATGATATGGACTTGGTATATTTTACATGTTAGAAATAAGTTAATCCTTAGTAAGCTGGTGTTGTCACAATCAGTGCAGACCATGATCAGGTATCCGTTCGCCATTCAGTCAGTTTATTGTCCATCGCCTTTTCGAAGAAAAGGGGGATATAGTAATAGGCTCCGTCCGTCTGTCCGTCAGTCTGTCCGTACGAACCCAGAGGTACTTGTGTGACTTAGAGAACAATGGGTTACAGTAAAATCTCTTTGATCCTATTCACTCCGTTTTTACTTGTGTGTCTTTTTTTAAACCTTGTGTGACTAAAAATGGCCAAAAAGATCAAAGGAAAAGTCAAATAAGTATCATTTTGTGAGTACGTCCGTCCGTCCGTCACACTTTCGTGTCCGGTCCATAGCTTTGTCATTTATCAATGGAATCTGAAATAACTTGACACAAATGTTTGTAATAATAAGACGATGTGTCATGCGCAACAACCAGACCCCTACCTCCAGGGTCAAAGTCGCACTTGCTCATTCAAAGTCAAGATTGTCTTTATTTGATGGTATATGTCGTGTCCGGTCCAAAACTTTCTTATCTTTTAAGGAATTTTGTAAATACTTGCCACAATTGTTCACAGTAATGAGACGATGAGTCATGCGTAACAACCGGTCACCTACCTCCAAGGTCAAGGTCACACTTGGAGGTCAAAGATTAACATAGTCTGTTACAGGGTATATTTTGTGTCCGGTCAATAACTTGTTCATGGATCAAAGGATTTTGTAAATACTTCCCACAAATAGTCACTATAATAAGACGATGTGTAATGCGTAACAACCGGTCACCTACCTCCAAGTTCAAGGTCACACTTAGAGGTCAAAAGTTAACATAGTCTGTTTTAGGGTATATTTTGTGTCTGATCTAGAACTTCTTCGGGATTTTGAAATAACTAGGCACAAATAGTCACAATAATAAGACAATATGTCAGGTACAACACCTGCACCCCTACCTCCAAGGTCAAGGTCACACTAAGAGGTCAAAGGTTAACAGAGACTGTTATAGGTTATATTTTGTGTCCAGTCCATAACCTTTTCATTGATCAAGGGATTTTAAAAATACTTTGCACAAATAATCACAATAATAAGATGATATGTCAGGCGCAAAACATGGGTCACTACCCCCAAGGTCACACTTAGAGGTCAAAGATTGACATAGTCTGTTATATGGTATATTTTGTGTCCGATCTATAACTTCTTCATAGTTCAAGGGATTTTGAAAATACTTGACACAAATAGTAATGTTAATAAGAAAATATGTCATGCACAACACTTGCACCCCTACCTCCAAGGTCAAGGTCACACTTAGAGGTAAATGGTTAACATGATAGATTTTTAAATTCCGTGTTTCATTTTACTAGTATTTTTTAAATAAATTTATTGTTGCATTTTCAGATCTAGTATTGATGAAAGTCTTAACATCCATACCGCAATCTTTTGAAATAGCACAATTTTATGCTTCATATAAACCTTCTCCATCCCGACATCAACCATATATTTTCTATTTCTCCGATTGTTGTTAACTTCGGTGAATTTAAAACCGAGGCGAGGGACGTTGGTAACTCTGTTACAAATTCTTGTCATATTTTAAATATTCCCTTAAAATTAATAATTGAAAAATGGACAAGTCCATTTAAGATATTAAGTGTGGTAAGGGATAAGCTGATATTAGATAATTAATTACTTGGTCACCTGTGTTATTACTTTCACTGACCATTGTTATCTGTTTTTTTTAATCGTATACACAGGTGAAGTTATTCAATTGTTTTTTACTAAGATATTATAGATCTCATACTTCCAGTTTTGATGTTCAACACGAAAGTGAACCTTTCTGCATGATCAGGACGTAAATGAACCTGTCTCCAACTGGCTTTCATTTACAAGATACAAAAATGCTTAAAACATTAACAACTATCTCAAAACATTTACGTACCTGAAAAAAGTCCCACAAGTACCGACAATACCATAAATATATGCAACGACTTTGCCAAAATCATAGCAGTAGATGTAACACCATATCCAAGCAGTGAAATTCCAAAAATCCATACAACTTGATTGTTGAATTTTGATGCAAAGGCCCCACAAAGAAGGCGCCCAAAAAGATTACCTACGCCTATAACAATGATGCAAACGGCAGTTTCTTTACTGCTTATTCCTTTATCTTGCATTAAGTCTGGGAGAAATGTTGAAGGGCCAAACAAAGCTGTAGTGGCTATACCATTCGAAACGAAGAAGATCATGAACTTGACATTTTTCAAAATTCCTATCATAGTTTTTCTTACTTCAACATTATCACTATCGTCATCGTTGTTATTATTGTTAGAAGAAACGAATGTAGCTGCAGCAAAAAAACCGGTAGAGCTTATACCGCCTAGAACAATAAATGCGATCTTCCAGTCGTACTGTTGAATACAGACCGTAAGTATCGGTGGTAAAATTAAAGAGCCAATGGCGGAACCAGAATTTGCTATGGTTAGCGCAAGAGGGCACATTTCTACACTGAACTTACGAACTACAATAGTATTTGAGCAGTAGTGAATGATTCCAGCACCAAGTCCTGAAATGAAAATTTAGACTGCTAATACATTATACTTAAGGTTAATGTTTCAAAATGTTAATAAAATAATTTGCAGAGTAGGGGCTAAATGACACCATGTAATTTACATTAAAGAAGAATGAAATGTTTCCAACAACCATTGCATTATATGCTATTAAACTGGCTTAGATTTCGGACTTACCACGGATATCAGATTGTTTTATAACCTGTCATTGATATTCATGATTTAAGTTTGATAATGCTTTTGTTCTTTAAATTCAAACCATTACTTAAGACACGAATCATTAGCATTGTCCTGTTAATTGGAGCAAAACATGCATACACTTAACAATGTCTATTGTGTTAATAACGAGTGTTTGTCCAGTGTTTAAAAATGTTTTATATGTCAGGCCGACATTTATGTTTTGTGACATAATTGCCAGCTGTAAACAAAGAAAATAGTTATTATTATAATTTATATTGACAGTTTTGTAGTTTAGTTGGTTTACAAGCATTAAGCAAATTTAAGGTTACAATGCTTAAGATTTCAATTAAACAAAATATGAATTCTTTTAACTTACCACTGATAAGTCCATATGTTATATAAAGAGTAGTGATTGCGGAGGCAAAACTACTCGTTATCATTCCGACAACAAGAAGTAAAGTTCCCACAACTGTGAGCCAACGTTCTTGTACCTTTACAAGTATAGGACCTAATGGTAAACCTGCAATAGAAAGTGGCACATATATATGACTTGATAATAAACCTGAAATAGGTATTAGTATAAGACCTAACGGTAAACGTGAAATAGGTATTGGTATAAGACCTTACGGTAAACCTGAAATATAGGTAGATGTATTGGTATAAGACCTAACGGTAAATCTGACATAGACATTGGTATAAGACTTTGAAGTAAACCTAAAATAGGTATTGGTATAAGACTTTGAAGTAAACCTAAAATAGGTATTGGTATAAGACCTTGCGGTAAACCTGAAATAGACATTGGTATAAGACCTAACGGTTAACCTGAAATAGTTATTGGTTTTAGACCTTACGGTAAACCTGAAATAGGTATTGGTATAAGACCTTACGGTAAACCTGAAATAGGTATAAGTATTCGACCTTACGGTAAACCTGAAATAGGTATTAGTATTCGACCTTACGGTAAACCTGAAATAGGTATTAGTATTCGACCTTACCGTAAATCTGAAATAGGTATTGGTATAAGACCTTACGGTAAACCTGAAATAGGTATTAGTATTCGACCTTACGGTAAAACTGAAATAGGTATAAGTATTCGACCTTACGGTAAACCTGAAATAGGTATTGGTATAAGACCTTACGGTAAACCTGAAATAGTTATTGGTATAAGACGTTACAGAAAACCTGAAATAGGTATTGGTATAAGTCCTTGAAGTAAACCCGAAATAGGTATTGGTATACGACCTTACGGTAAACCTAAAAATGTCATTTGTATAAGGCCTTACGGAAAACTTGAAATCAATATTACAAGAGACCTAATGGTAAACTTGAAATAGATATTGGTACACCTCCTAATGGTTAAGCTGAAATAAATACTGAAAATAGTTTTCATTGGGAACTTCAATTTTATTACTTTTTTCATTATCAAAGGTGTATTAACTCAGTCGAGCAAAACTTGGCAACTTATCAAAATCTTAACCAAATAAATAAATAAATAAATAAAATTACTTACCAATGATTTGAGTTAATCCGTTAAATATCGAGGCTATCCAGGCCGCTTCATAATGTGAAGTTTTAAAATCATTTCGTATTTCACTGTATAGAATACCAAATGTAATACTCATTCCAATTGAAAGAATATGACCAAAATGACTCCCCAATACAATAAATACTTTAATAATGTTGTCATTCATTCTTAGTTTAATAACAGACATTAAAAAACTTTAAGTAAAAGGAACGTTCAGTCGCTCTATGGTAAATCATTCAAGTGTGTTTATACGAGCGTATAGTCATTGTTATTTGTATAAATTAAAATCAGTGTCAAACTTTGGCGAGCTGGCAAGTTTATTTTGAATAAACATCAGTGATCTTCTTTGATGACAAAAACAATAAAAAACCGTTTCACAAAAATATCCTCATTGATAAAACTCACTTAGTGTTGTATAAACTAAACCTCAAAAATATCTGTGTATGTTGATATTTGTTGCATGAACATATCTCGCGACAACGGAGACCTTAAAATAAAATAGAGTAGCGTGTATCGAGTATCGACTGTATACGATGGTGATGATATAGTATGTTGACATATATAGTTTGAGTAGGAATACATTATAACACACATTTTTGAAAAATATTCGGTCACACTTCGGTTCTGTCCGTGTAGTATGGAGTACTATTATATAAATAATGTTTTGATGAAGTCACACTAGCTTGTTCGTCATCACATCTACATCTGCAAAAGCACACCTGTATAGCCTATACACGAGAGGTCTGTGGATCCCCAGAAGCAACTTAAAAACAATGTTTAGTCTCGTTTTGTATTGTATTTTACGAAATTGAAATATCATTTATTGGTTTGAATACAAATGAAATCTTGAAGTTATTTAAAAAGAGACTCTATAAGACTTTAACCAAAATAAGTGCAAAACATAATTGATTAACAAAACGCACAAAATGAAAAACAATCATAGGTCCAATAATGTTGAAAATATAACAATGTTGATAATACGTGTAAGGCATACGCGACAAAAGGTGCTAGTCGCATTCATTAATCTTGTTATGCATGTAATATAATATCAATATATTAGAAAAATAAAATAGATTTTTTTTTTATTTTTGTTATATCCTTATAGTCTATAACAATATCAATATGAATGTGCTGAGTACCAAAATCAAAATTTTATTTTCTATTTTAATATTTTTAATATATTAATTGATATTATATTACATAAATAACAAGATTAAACATATTTTAGGTCTAGCACACGTAGGACATTTAGAAATTATAAACCCATACACCTGTACATACAGTTGTATTGCGCTTTTAAATTCAATCTCTTACTTGTTGCGTACATCTCGCGAAATTAACCGAACATTTATCGAAGATTAATATAGATTGTGCATTAACCGTATAACCAGGTTAATAAAATCATCAAACCTTTCACTTTCGTTTTCATCGGCACGGACTAAACATCGGCTGAATGTATTTATTGCCATCTCGGTACAGTCATAAAACAGAACATATGTGCATGAATATCGTTTTCTTTTTACGCCCCCTTTCGAAGAAGATATTGTTTTGCTAATGTCGGTATGTCGGTCTGTCTGTCTGTCCGTCGGTATAAAACATGGTTTCCGCTGATTATATTGAAAACATTTTATCACAAAGTCTTCATATTTCACATAATAGTTGATGACCCCTATTGATTTTGGGGTAAATTTGCCTTAAATGTTAAAATGGTTTCCGCTGATTATCTTGAAAAGTATTCATTACAAAATCTTAATGTTTCACGTAATAAGTGGCCATAACTAGCAGATGACCCCTATTGATTTTGGGGTCACTAGGTCAAAGGTCAATGTCACATGGACCTTTAATATTAAAATGGTTTCCGCTGATTATCTTGAAAAGTATTCATTACAAAGTCGTCATATTTCACATATTGATTGGTCATAACTAGTAGATGACCCCTATTGATTTTGGAGTCACTAGGTCAAAGGTCAAGATCACAGGGGCCTTAAATGTCAGAAGGGTTTCCACTGATTCTCTTGAAAAGTATTCATCACAAAGTCTTTATATTTCACATATTGATTGGTCATAACTAGTAGATGACCCCTATTGATTTTTGGGTCATTAGGTGAAAGGTCATGGTCACAGGGGCCTCGAATGTCAGAATGGTTTCCGCTCATTATCTTGGTTACAAATCATCGCAAAGTCTTCATATATCACATATTGATTGGTCATTACTAGTAGATAATACCTATTGATTTTGGTGTCACTAGGTCAAAGGTCAAGGTCACAGGGCCTTAAATGTCAAAATGGTTTCCGCTTATTATCTTGAAAACTATTTATCACAAAGTCTTCATATTTCACATACTGATTGGTAATAACTAATAAGTAACCCCTATCGATTTCGGAGTCACTAGGTCAAAGGTCAAGCTCACAGGGTTCTTGAATGTTAGTATGGTTTCCAATTATTGTCTTGAAAGCTATTTATCACAAAGTCTTCGTATTTTTAATATTAATTGGTCATAACTATTAGATGACTAACTATTGATTTTGGGTCACTATTTCAAAGGTCTAGATCACAGGGGCCTTAAATGTCTCGTTATCTTGAAAACTATCACAAAGTCTTCAATATTTTTTCCATAATTGAACACTTCCGTGTAACCATTTATGGCAAGTTTCTATAACAAAATTACCAATAATGTGAGTCAAGGGCTAGAAAGGGGGGCATATGTGATCGACATTTCTTGTTATTGTTTGTTTATTTCGAGGGGTGAAAGCGAAAAGGTTCTAAATGCATTTTCCAAAATTTTACAGGAGAAGCAAAAAACTGTCTCAAATGTTTGTAAAATAGCAAAATTCCACAACACTTTGATTTTACACATAAAAAAGTTAAAGGAACCTGTCAATGATAATAAAAATGCTAGGAAAGACTTGGCAAACAAGATATTTAATCAAATGTAACTTAGAACTGTTTCGCACTTAAAATTTCTCATATTTTGATTTTTATGTTCAAAGCGAAAAGGTTCCAAGTGACTTTTTGATAGAACAAAAGCATGTTTTTTTTTTCTTATTTAATTAAAGATAGAGCAACAGTTTGGCATTTCTAATTATTTAGTAAGAGATTGAGTATAAATTGCCAGATAGGACTGTTTCGCACATACTTTTTATTTTGATTTCATATTTTAGGTGTGAGACATTCGCATACTCCACTTTCAAGTTCATGAAATTTTAAGTTTGACTGTGTTTAAATTAGAAACATAAATAAAGGTCATAATTGATAGTGTACAAAACTTTTAAAGAACATGATGGGCATTAATCACACCTGAAAAACAAAAAACAAATGCCAATTAATTTGATAATCATTTTTAGCTGAACTATACAAAGTATATGGAGAGCTGTCCTCCTTGCCATGGTGTCCGCGTCCAGATTTCAGATTAAAGTTTTGGTGCAGTAAAATACTAAGGTATCAGCTTCAAACTTCAGATATATGTCCTTGGCCTTGGTGGTCAATTCCTATGCATCAAAACTCCAAACCGGTGTTAAATAGCCAATAAACACCGGTAAGATCGATATTATTTCTTGATCATTACATGTTGTGTGACATGGTACATAACTCTAGCGTTACTACCTCAAGAATTATTCCCCCTTGAACTTTGAATTTATGTTAACAAATATAATTTTTTTACTATAACTTCTTGTCATATGGATAAGAGTTATAAAATGCAAGCTCCTGTATTCCCAGCATTAATTAAGTATCCCCATTTAATTTTTGAAATTCATTTGTAAATTGATTTTTAAATATTATCTTTATTGTTATAAATGGTATCTGCTCTAGACTTAAGATAAATAATGGTTCTTTGTCATTAGTCACATCATGCATGACAAGGTTCATAACTCTAGCTTCTTTTTTCAAGAGTTGTTTCCAATTTGAACTTATAACTTACTTTAAATTCTTTTTGCTTTTATCATTTTTGTTTTTGAAGGGATTGACTTCAGATTTCAAATTGCTGTCTTTCCATTAAAGTAACATTAATGTTATTGACAAGATCATTATGTTGTGCAAAATATAGAACATTTGACTGCTTTCTTGATACTGATACAAAAATATATTTATATCATAATTGATTTTTCTTTCATAGTTTCATCTTCCTTACTGCATCCAGTATTTGAAGAGTCAAGCTCCGCTGTCTCCTGTGACAGCTCTTGTTTTCTTGCATTTCCTGTCATATTCTTTAATATTCAAAATAAAACAGTTACATTCATATTCTTTCATAATCATATTTAAAATGGTTACCTTCAATAAGATATTTATTCATGGAAATTAATGTCATTTCATCCACAACTATTTTCTAACAATAGTTTATGTATTAATTTTTAAACAACTTAAATATTATAAGCGGCTTAATGCGGTCATCCTTAGCCCATAGGTCCATTCTAAAATGCGCCAAAATGACACTTTCTTTTTATGCTGTTCATAAATAAAATACGCTTAAATGACGCAACTTATCTGGCATCACCATAGGATATGAGTCTGATTCTGATTTAGATCGGGAAAATCCGATTCAGCCAGTGAATATGATTTTATAATTTGTTCTGATTACCACTGTTTGAACCAATGAGATTACAGCTATTTTGAAATCATAATAATAGTGAACAATATTCTCTGAAAAACTTTTTGGACTTGTCTGAAACTTCATTCAAAGTGCAAGAATATCTTTGCAATAAACAGTTTCACAAAAAGTCCCAGAAAATATTTGAACTGAAAATATATTTTACAAATTGTGCACACTTGAGACACCCCCATGTAGCAACAATGCATAGAAGAGATGATATGTCTAAAGGCCAAGTCCCAAAGGCCACCTTCATTAGCATAAGTGTGACCCATAACTATACTTTATTTTACATTGTTTATATACATCAAAGTCACCCATAGCTCCACCTACATTAAAATTTTTCAATATCTCAGAGGCACACATAGCTCCACTTTCATTCACGTTACTTAATATTTCAGTGTCACACAAAGCACCTGCTATATTTACACAACTCAGTTTCTTGGACTCACACATAGCTCCAAGTTCATTTGCAATGCCCAATATATCAAAGTCACAATATCTTGTAACTTTGTCTATAACCTTTCCTACCTTATCATACCCAGATTTCTGATTATCATCAAAAAATCGCTTTTAACCATTCTAAATATCTCACTATCACCTGTAGTCTCACTTTCAAGAACATCACCTGATATCGTATTGTCATCTAAAGTTGTGGTCTCATTTACTCCTGGCAGAGCCCAGGACCACCCAGGTAAGTTACTTGATCAAGGGTGAAATTTTTGTTGCGGTCACACTTACCCCGGCAGCACTACTGTAATTCCCAACTAACACACAGGATGCCCCCGGACCATCCAGGCAGAGCCCAGGTGAAGCTCTGGTTCATGCCGGTGCTTACCTGGTCATTCCTGGATGACGCGGGCAGAGCCCAAGTTGACCAAGGCAGAGCCCCAGTCGATCCTGGCAGAACCCAGGACGATTTTGGCAGAGCCCCGGTAGCACCCCAGTGGATTGAAAACGTGCAAAAATTATGACGTTAATACATCATTTTCATTAATATAATTCTAAATAATATTTTCTCCTATCCAATAAGTAATTCATGATGATTTTCAGAATAATCTTTATGCAAGACTGGACAGAAGGGATATGGGGAAAGGGTTTTATTACAAACAAGTGCAATCATTGCAAATTGCCGTAATTCTTTTGAAATGAACCGGGCTTTGCCGGGGCTCTACAAGAATCAACAGTAGCTCCATCGTCATCCTCCGGGGCTCTGCCGGCTTTCACAGGGGCTCTGCCGCATTCACCGGGGCTCTGCTGGCATTCATCGGGGCTCTACTGTAGCTCTACCGGCTATATCATACCCCGACTCATCCCTAGTTTGTGTCAGCAGAGCTACAGTGCTTCCCTGGCGTAACCCGGTCATTCTGTCATTCCCGGCAGGGCTAAGGATGAAGCTGGTAAAGCTATACCTTCCCGGATCACCCCGGTGATATTAAATATTTTATCCCATCTAGGGTCGAATGCCGAATGTTCCGGATCATCCCGGAGGTTGCAGGCAGAGTTATGAATGTATCCCGCTTGTTCCTTGATCATCCCCAGACGTCTACCAGGGCTCTGCCAGGGTGTGAGACCACAGCTTAAAGCTAAAATTTTCTTCAATTATGTCCCTATTTTAAGTACAACCAGCTAAAGCATCACTTTCAGTAACATTATCAGATTTCTTACCGTCATCTATAGCCCTACCTTTAATATCATCACACAAAACCCTTTAAGATAGTGCATGATCATTACTTTTCATGTACACTTAGAACTGTTTCCCTTTTAAAAAATCGATTATTTCATGAGTGGAGTTAACTGCGAAACAGTTCTAAGTACTTAAGTTTTCTTCCAAAATCAAGACATCGATCTACTCTGAAACTAATTAATTTCTTATGTGATATTTAAGAAATAATATATCCCAAACTGTGATTTTATTGCTCAATAACATCACTGTTTGGACTTCGGATGCGAAGAATTATATCACGAGGGCGTAGCCCGAGTGATATAATGATGCGCATCCGAACGACAAACAGTGATGTTATCAAGCAATAAAATCACCGATTTGGATATATTATTTCGATTCTAACACGACATCAACAAATAAATGCTGCCGTACATTATAATTAGCTAAACTGCGCCTGATTTGTTTCCGTACTTATTGTCAGCGCGTCACATTTTTAGTGGTTACGTCACGTGTATAATGATTACGTCACATGTCTAAATATAGAACGTCAAACAGTGATTTTATAGCATAATAACACACACTTTCGGTTCCTCTATGTTCAATGGGGAAAAATGCGGGTCGTGTTAGAATATTTAATAATGTACAATAAAAGGTTTAGCTTCAAAATTGCTTTGATTGCTCTTATTTTAATGCAGTTTAATTTGTTTTTATTTAATCTTGTACATTTTATACTCAATGAAAGCGAAAAGGTTCTAACTGCCATTTGCAGTTAGAACCTTTTCGCTTTTCACAAAAAAGGTTAATTTCACTTAGAACCTTTGGACAATTTTTCATTTCACCCTGTTATAAGTAAACTAAATCTTATATATTTTGACATAAGATGTATATGGGTGTTTATGTTACAAATATATAAAAAAAGTGAATTTTGTAAAAAAAGTGAGTTAGAACCTTTTCGCTTTCACCCCTCGATTTGTTTTCTTTATTCATTTATAAAAAATATTTAGTATAAATATAAGATGAATACATGAACTTGTTGAATTTACTGTCTGTCCTAAAGATAAATCCAGAAATGTTCATGCCTAATATCTAAGTTCTAGCATTTACTGCTTCAGAAGAGGGGATTTTAAAGTTTTTAGTATATACATTTAAGAAAAACCAAATTAATACCCGCGGACCAGTTTTTATCACATAACTGTAATTTACACAAACTTAGTAGAGTATCATAAATGGATGCTAATAATACATATCTAAGTCCTAGGACTTGCACCTCCGTAGAAATTGTAATTTTGAATTTTTTTTTTTTTTAGCTTTTGTGACCCAGATATTCCTTGGACCAGAACTATCGAAGGAAAATTTCTGCTGCCAAGTTACATCAACTTTGTGTGATTTCAGAGGAGATGTGTGAATTACGAACGTTTGACGGACGAAGGACACCCATAGATGTCGATCCTAAAAGGAAAATGTGCGCAGGTGAGCTAGAAAGCACCAGTGTCCTACCATAATATTAAAAAACGTACCAAGTAGTAATAAAAGTACCTATGCATAACAAGCGGGGAAGTTAATTAATAAATTGACATACTAAAGGGTGGAATAAATAAATGGTCGGTTCATTAGTAGAATGCATTGGCTCATACTTTAACATTTCAACAAATAAATAAAACACAATATATCCTGACCAGCAGATATCAAGCCTTACAAGAACTGGTATGTGGTAGCTGTGAAAATTTCTTAACAGTGTCAATAGTTCTAGGGTTGAAGATAGTTGTAGCTTTGGTTGTGTTGCATTCACGAGTACACTTCGAGACTTTTCTCCGATTGTTGTTAACTTCATTGGTCTCAAAGGATATACCTCTTTTAAATGCATCAATGTATTAGGAAGATGTCCTTTACTAAATACACATTATCAATCTGGCTATGAATAGAACGTCACATAGGGTAGAGGTACATGTAAGTATGTCACAATGCAACTTCTACTCAGGCGTTTCCAGATAAAGAATTGTTCCGTGGCCTAGATATTTCAAGGTAATCAAGTCTATCTTTCCTTTATCTCAACGCTCTTTCTTTGATGAAGCCATAGCAATATCTTATATACCTTGCAGGTTCCCCACAAACAAACAAAATAAAACAAACAAGAGCTGTCACCCAAGTGACGAATGCGCCCAAAAAGGTTCCTTAAGCAGGCATTATGAAAAGAAAAGAGAATGAAAGTAACTAATTGCTGAATATTCTTCTTTGTATTATTGTACCTGTAATCTCTAATTGTGATAGCACGAACCTTCAAAATATAAATGAGGCCTTGACCTTTGAAGAAGGGTCGTGGTTCCTGGACTCGACAAAATGTTGTTATGAGATAGACATTTGTGCCAAATTATTTCAAAATCCCTCAATGCATGACAAAGTGACAGTCTGGACATGATTATTGTGCAAGTGGGGACACACGGACATGAGCCTTAGCCGCGACACATTGTCTTGATGTGGTAGACATGTGTGCCAAGTTATTTTAAAATCCTTCCATGCATAACAAAATTACAGTCAGGACATAAATGTGTATCTTCAAACTCTTCTCGAGAAAATGAGTACGTTCAAACTATTATTGTGACCTTGACCTTGAAGGTAGGGACATGGGTCTTTGTCGCGACACATTGTCTTGATGTGGTAGACATTTGCGCCAAGTTATTTTAAAATCTTTCCATGCATAAAGTTACGTTACAATCCGTGTGTACCTATAAACTCAAATTGTGATAAAGTGAACTTCAAAATGGTAGTGTGACCTTGACCTTTGAAGTAGGGATGTGATTCTTGGACGTGACACATCATCTTGATATGGTAGACATAAATTTTATGCCTAGTTATTTTTAAATCCTTCCATGCATGACAAAGTTACAGTCCGGACACAAATGTGTGTACCTATTAACTCTAATTGCGATAATGTTTAACTTCAAAATGTTAGTGTGACATTGACCTTTGAGGTAGGGACCAGGTTCTTGGACGCGACACATCGTCTTGATGTGGTAGACATTTGTGCCAAGTTATTTCAAAATCCCTCAATGTATGACAAAGTTACAGTCCGGACACGAATTAAGTGGGGACGCAAAGACGGACGGACAGACGTTGCGATTATATAATGCCTCCTTCGGGGGAATAAAAACATAACAAATCACTAGGCATCAATAACATTTTATTTTGCAGTTCTATACATAATTTTATTTTGACTCAATAGTTGTATTCTTTAACATGATATTACTGAATAACTTATAACACTTTGTTTCTGATATAATATAACCATTATTTATTTCTTAAAATTTCTACTGTATTGCATAAACTTTAATTTATTTTTAAAAAATCTGAAATCAAAATGGCTGTCAGCAAATTTCAACCTAACAAAATTGTGACCCAAGTTCAAGTTGACAGAAGAAAACCAAAAAAAAATAGGTACTAAGGGTTTAACAAAGTTAAGAATCGAAGCTAATTTCAAATGCAGTACATGAGTGGATGTCGTGTGGGATTTGGCATTCATATCAGCTGCTGTTAAATCATTTTAACATTAACTTATAGGAATTTCAAAACAACAGAAATGAATGAATTCATAAAAAGTTAATAAAAACTCATAACTCATCACAGATCCTATAAATAAATACTCATGAACAGAAAAACCAACCAAGAATATATAAAATGTCACTAACTTTAGCCAATAACAATTTAAATGAAATAAGCTCCTTATTAAATTTTAAAATTAATATAAAATAACAATTTCTTAACAATAAGATAAGATCTGTCAAAATTTTACAACAATGAAGGCATTTACTGCGACAACAAGAATGCTTCACGTTTATAAACAGTAGCTTCATTTTTCTTCAAGATCTGTTTCATAAAGAGAGGTAACTCTTGAGGTTACTCAAGGATTATATAGTTATCATGTAATTATAAACTCCCCTTAGTTTTTAATAGGGCATTGAGAAAATCATAAAATTTACAGTTGAAATGATCCAATGACTCATCTATTTTGAAAACTTTTAATCACAGTTATTTAATAAAATAAAGTATCCACTATAATAGTATAAGTGAACAATAGTTAAAAAGAAACTCATGTAAAGATAAACTGTAAGCACAAAAACTTTAAGTCAATAAAACACTTCAATATTTCTACATTTTCTTTCCGGGTTCATATTGGAACACTTCTTTAATACAGATATAAATATAAACACATTAATTAGAGACTAGAACAAGCACTTTACAGCATTTTAACAATCTAAATAATGGAGAACAAACACTTGACATGATTTCTAACTTTCATCGTAATCACTGTAATGGTTATATGTACCTCATGTACAAAGACTTTGTTTTCGTTGAGTTTTTATGACACTCAAAGACATTTTTATGGCCATACTCTGGCATTACTGTAAAAAAAACACCTTCAATAGCCCTATATCGAGCAAAAACAGACATGTTCTTGGCATAATATGATCAAACACCAAGGAGGGACTCTAAGGGACAAAGTATTAGAAATTACTGACTTCAACCACCCAAACAAAGGTCTATGTCATACCATATAATGTATTCTTGACATGTACAGACATAAAGTCACTTATCTAAACAATCAATAACTAAACTAAAAAAAGATTCAAATATTACTCTAACAAACTACTATTTCTTTGCATATAACATTTGACAGTGCCAGTGACCAAAGAACCTCTTATCTTAAATATCAAAATCAGTAATGCCAATTTTATAAGAACACCGGGAGAAGTTATAAACAGTATTTATAAGATGCAAGTTTTCACTGAAGCAAGCAACATCATTATAATGAGCTGCATCATGACAAAACCAACATAATGGGTTTGCTACCAGCATGGATCCAGACCAGCCTGTGCGGATGCGCAGACTGATCAGGATCCATTCTGTTCGCTTACAAACCCTATTACAAGTAGAGAATCTGATAGCAAACAGCATGGATCCTGATCAGACTGTGTGGATGCACAGGCTGGTCTGGATCCATGCTGGTTGCAAACCCACTATGTTGGTTTTGTCGTGACGCGGCTCATATGTATACAGGTTTACAAGGTTATTTTGCACTTTGTTATGTTGATTAATTCAACATAAATATCTCACTAATTCTACTTGCCTGGCAGAACAATATAAAAACTTAACTATGGACACTCCATACAAAAGCTGCCATGACACAAGACTATATATATATTATATTACAGTTGCCATAAAAATATTGGTTCAAATTTACCTTAACAGTATATTAAATAAAGAAATTATATTACTAAAGCTGTTGAAACTTTTTTAAGCAGTCACATTTTTTTCTACTTGCAAATGGTCAAAATGAATAATTTATACAATGAAAGAAATAATTATTTCAATATGTGTAACATAAACAAGTCCTTTTTCCAGAATATCAGCTAGTATATAACATAAAATGCATGAAAAAATATTTTACATGAGAAACACTGTGGCACATAAATGACCATAAAAAATCTCTGAAAAGTAAATAAAATTCTCCTTCAAAATTACAAAAAAAAACCTCCAGAAAAAAATCTCAAGTACTGTACAATAACCATTATAGAAGAGAATGCATGCAGTGTATTGATTACCAAAGTGAATCAATTTATCTGAACAACTCTCCTAAATTAAATCAAATTACAACTGCATGCAGAGGTTTCCTGACAATTTTAAGCAAATGTTGTGCTCTGTGCTTAAAAACACGTACATCTAAAATATTTTTTCTCAAAATTTGGATGACTTTGTTTTCATAAGTAAGCAATAATACCAACTAAATAAATTTCATTATGCATTATGAAGATCAACTATCAGAGATTGTAAATTTGAAAGCCTTTTTGTTTTCTTAAAACATTTTAGGTCTCCCTTTAAATGACACAGCTTTTAAGCATGTTCAAATCTTGTGTACTAGGAATGCATAACAAAACAACTGTCAAGGGTTTCACAAAGTTTTATATGATAACTAAAGTTTCTAAAAGCTTGCACCAACCACTACCATCAAAGAATAGGCACAATCACGTCGGGCATGCAGCGTTATCAATTTTGCTATGTTGGGGGCCATTATCAGGGTTTCCACTTTTGACCATAGCATTAGCTACCAACTGACCCAGGTCAGTGTACACATCCATGAGGTCTGACAGAACTTCATCACTGGCAGCTGAATATTTTATTTTGGAAAGTGTCATCCCTCAAACTGCATATGGACAGGCTCTAATTCAAAGCAGAGCACCAAACTGAGCGACATGTGAAGCGAAGTTATTATTCAAAGACAACATTTGAGTTGTGCCATGACAAAACCAACATATTGGGTTTGCGACCAGCATGGATCCAGACCAGCCTGCACATTCACGCAGTTTGATCAGGATCCATGCTGTTTGCTATCAGATTCTCTACTTGTAGCGAACAGCATGGATCCTGATCAGATTGCGCGGATGCGCAGGCTGGTCTGAATCCATGCTGGTCGCAAACGCATTATGTTGGTTTTGTCGTGACGCGGCTCAATTATTTACATAACATTTGTAAATAAACACATTTATCTAAAATCTGTTTTATATATACTGTCATTAACTATAAAATGTCTTCAGACTAGTGATATAACAATGTTTATAAATCATGATAAATTTGAAATTTTCTCATCATCTATTTGTTATACCAGTACATTCTATATAATACTGCAAAGCTAACAGCTTGGCTTGACTTTCACGGAGCCTATGGTGTAGCATTCAACATAAAAGCTGATAATGTTTTTGGCTTCATGGCTGATCACGGATCTACTTTCATTCCATTGAGTGGTATCATACCCTTTTCTTTAGCATCCATAGTTCCGCTCCCTGAAAAAGACAAAAAATTAATTTTCTTTACTATGATAATATATTTGGAATTAACTGTGTATATAAGATAAAGTTATTGCTCTTTGTGAATACTAATCATTTATTGTGTATAAAAATGTATAAAACTATATACGATTTTTTTTCAATGAACATAAAAATATTTTTCTTTTTTTATAATATTAATATTTTCAATCATGTTGACATTTCTTAGCCAAACAATGGATAGTTCTGAATTCCACATACAAGTGCAATTAAGACAATTAGGGGGAATTTAGTTTGAAAATAAAAATCAACATTTATTACATTATATCAGCTTATATTTACATGTAACTACAGCCTGTCACCAGTTCAATGAACGTAATTCATCTAATTTTTAAATGTCCAATAAACATGTTACAATGAAACATTATTAACACATGGCATGTTTTCCTCATCTTTGTGAATTAAAAAATAGTCTAATATGTAACAGCTTAAATATTTCAAAAAGAGGAAAAAACCTGCAATTATTGGCCAAGGTGACTGACTTTCTGAATCTACAATTACACAGTCAAGAAGTTTTCAAAAGATATCCTTTTTGTAAGTCCCCCCCACCCACACCTCCACTCCATGCACTTCATACTCCGAGTAAGACGATGATAAAATAAATTATTGCTGTTTCAAATGAAACGTCTAAAAAAGATTCCCTTCAGGGTACCCCTTCACCACAAAATGACGTCACATAAATACATGACGTATTTGCTTTGGTACCTAACGAATGTAAACAGGAGAAAAGGAATAGTCTGTTGAAGACTATTTACTTGTAATTTATATCAAGCGTTGACAAGGTCATATTTGTTTTCAATACTGAAGAGAATATTTAACATAACTCTATTTTGGCAAATATTATTTATTTGGCAGTTAAAACGTGCTTGTATATTGGAACTTACACCGTGTATAATCGAACAGTATGTGCATCGCCACAGCGAATGTTGTTTACAACATGGGGTACCCAACAGAGAAATTTAGTGTGTATATTACCCATCTGGATCGGTAATATCAATTTCTTTCGGCTCAAAAAGGGCTAGAAAATCTGGAAGGGTAATAAATTGAAATACTTTTCGCTTATCTGGAGGCATGCTGCTTTAAAATATCAAATATTCCTCCTAAATTAGATATATTGTAAAAAGGGTTAATGTGGTTAAATACTGCATTATTTTCAACTCTTACAGCTCTAGTTGAGATTACAACTTGTTTTTGAAATCATTATAAATCCATGCCAGCTTACATGTCTATGTACATCCATGAAGTCTGATCAGATATTATACAGTTCCCTACTGAATCAGGTATTTTCACTATTACATACTGCAATGGATAGTTCAAATTCAAAGGACATGCCCATTACATAATTTAGCAGTTATGGGTAAAGACGACTTTCAACAGTGGTAAGTTTATCTAAAATAATGAGCCTATTTGTCTGACAAACAAGTAACATGCGTTCCACTTTTACCATCCACTATCTGCTAATATGCCAGTTATTTAACCTTTACCATTTCTAAATTTGATAACCTAAATTTGCCCTACTTCTGATTTATGACTATCCACTGGTAATTTAAGCAATTTAAATATTTAAATGCTTAATTCAAGCAGGTCACAGTGCAGTGTCTGGTCAGAAGGCATTGGTGTACAGGCTTGCCTTTGAATAGATGGGAAAAATATTTTGATATCCAAAGCTAAAATCCCGATTTTTTATTCCGCAACAAAAGCTACATTCAGAGATATCTTTTTTTTCTATTCTAGGTCACAATCTCACTTCTACCTACACATAAAATATCAAGCTGCATTCAGAGAATATTATCTTTTTTTTCTATTCTGTGTCAGAATCTCACTTCTACCTACACATAAAATAGCACAATATCTAAACTCGTAGTACAAATAGTTGGACCAGTGGCAAAGTCAAGACAATACCACCGCTAGTGTTTAATTGAGTTATAACAACATGTACATACTTCTGAATTTTTTCACCGCCCTTCTTCTTTCTTGTTCATCATAGTACCACACAGTAATTGCATATCTGAAATACATCAAATGAGCCGCGTCATGACAAAACCAACAAAGTGCGTTTGCAACCAGCATGGACCCAGACCAGCCTGCGCATCCGCAAATTCTGATCAGGATCCATGCTGTTGGCTATCAGATTCTCTACTTGTAAAAGAGTTGGTAAGCGAACAGCATGGATCCTGATCAGACTGCGCGATTGCGCAGGCTTATCTGGATCCATGCTGGTCGCAAATGCACTATGTTGGTTTTGTCATGACGCGGCTCAAATGTTTATTAGTTAATTAGAGATAATTTAAAATTCACATGATTATAAAGGGTTTAAAAATAAACTGACAGAACTCATAAGTAAATATACAAACAGACGTCCAACCAAAATGGAATAATTGGCCATTTCTTTTGTTATTTTCTTCTGTTTAATAAAGGGCCAATGGCCCCTTACTCTATTGTTATGGAATTAACTCTAATGTTCTCTTTTTGTTGTTTACAGTTAGATGCTCAAAGCAAGTTCTGCTGATGTTATTTTGCAAAAAGTTGCTGTTGCAAATAGTCAAAGACTTAAGAACATGAATTAAAATGACGAGACAGATTTTTAAGAAAAAAACCTTTTTGCAATCTCTTTATTAGGAAATGCCTTTTATCCTGTAAATATTCTAGTTATTTTATCAGGATACATGAGCTTATGTCATAAATCTTGTACTAACAAGCAAATTTGTTGAATTTATATCCCCCGCCGAGTACTGGTTATTATTAACACAACAACTGAAGACATAAGGCTTTATTTATATATTAATCATGGCATAAACAGTAATATTCTTTGAACTTGATAAATATTCAGGGAAATAACAGAGCCATAACTTTGTGTTAAATAGTAAAATCTGGAAATGCCAATGAGATGTATGCATACTACATAACTAATCAAGGGCCATAAATCTGAGTTATAAGTATCTGACTGGAACAAGGCGACTATATGCACATCTCCTCTTAGTATCCCATAAAGTTTCATTGAATTCCAGCCGGAGGTAGCAGAGAAGTAGCAAGGAAACAAATATTTTTCTATATGGATACTGCATAACTAATCAAGGGCCATAACTCTGAGTTAAAGTGTCTGACCGGAACAAGCCGATGATATGCGCATCTCCTCTTGATATTGATGATTCCCATAAAGTTTCGTTGAATTCCAGCCAGTAGTTGCAGAGAACTACTCCGGAAATGATTTTTACTCCATATGCATATTGCATAACTAATCAAGGGCCAAAACTCTGATTTAAATTGTCTGACCCCAACGCCGAGGGGAAAAAATGAATCTCCTCTTGGTTTTTGTTTTCCCCCAAAAAATTTTCGTTAAATTTCCCACCCATGGGTTTGCAAAAATTTTAGCGCGGAAAAAATTTTTTAACCCCAAAATGCATACGGGCATAACTAATAAAGGGGCCCATAAAAATAATAATAATAAAAATAAAATAATAAAAAAATTTAAAGCTTTTTTTAAAAGGGGGCCTACAAAAGTTCCCCACCCCAAAGGGGGCCCAAAAAAAACCCTTTGGGAAAGCCATAATCTAAGTTAAAGTGTTTGATGGAAACCCAAGCCGTAAATTTGGCATCCCCTTTCTTGGTATTAAATTGTTTCCCCATAAAAGGTTTCGTTAAATTTCCCCCAGCCATTTATTCCCCAGAAAAAATAGCAGGGGGAAAACGATTTTTTACTCTATATGCATACTCCCATAATAATCAAGGGAAAATAACTTGAGTTAAAGTGTTTGCCCGGGGAAACCCCAAGCCGACGAAATGCGTTTTCCTCCTTTTTGATATTAAATGTTCCCCCTAAAGTTTCTTTTGAATTCCCCCCAGTAGTTGAAAGAGAACTACCCCGGGAAAAACCGAAATTGGGGACAAAACGGATGGACGGCCCGGACAAAAACCGGAACGGTCAGATGGGGCATCTCCCCCTTGATATTAAATGATTTCTCATAAATTTTTCGTTAAAATGCAGAGAACTACCCCAGAAACAAAAATTCGGAGGGTTTGGAGGACAAAAGGGCCCGGTCAGTGCGAAATCTCCTCTTGAATTGATGATTCCCATAAATTTTTCGTTTTTTTTCCCGGCGATTTGGGTTGCAGAAAAACTACCCCCGGAAAAAAAAAATTCGAGGGACGGAGGCCCGGAGGCGGAAAGGAAAAACCCCCCAAAACTATACCCCCTCCAGATTCCATCGGCAGGGGATAATAAAAGATTGAAGTTAACAAACTAGTACAGCTATCATCATTTGTATCTTATTTATATTTTGAAAAAGGTTAAAGGAACTCCACTGAGGTCCAATAGCTTAGAATAATAAATTTTGAAATTCTTTCATAAATCAACTGATACACTTAAAATTGTAAAAATATATTCGGTCCCTTCACACCAAAAAACCTCAGTGGAGTCCCTTTAAAGGATTTACTGGTGGAGGAAGACCTCAGGTGCTCATTAAAGCATTACTTCCACTAAAGTAGAGCCATAAATTTTCCCCAATATGGGGGGCTCATAATTTTCCAAAATGAAACCCCCCAAAAAGTATTTTAGCTTTTCCCTATTCAAAACCCCCGTGGGGGCCCCAAATGACTTAAAGTCGTGACGGTCCCCACTTGGCCAGGGGAACGTCACTCAATGTGTACCCACAAACCCCTTTTTCCCGTGGGGGCAGGTAAAAACCATAAAGGATTTCTTCGCTCTCCAAAGAAAAAAAAACAATCTATAAAATTTTGGGTTCAATTTTTCCCCATTGGGTTTTATGCCTTGCGGAAAAAAATTTTCCTTTAAAAAACCCCCCCCAAACCCCAACCCTTAAAAAAATTTTAAAGGGAATAATAAATTTTATAAAATCTCCCCAACCCTAAAGTGTTTTAAAAAAATTTTTTGCCCTCCCAATAAATTTGGGAAACTTTTTCATATAATATCAAACAAGGGCATGGAAGTAGATTTTTGTTTACTCATGTTTCAAGGGGTTTTTCCATGGTTTTTTCTGTTTGTTTCAACCCCTTTTTAAAAAACCCCCTTTTTTTGATCGATATTTTTTTTCCCAAAAACCCCACTAAATTTCAATGCATAATTAAACATTAACTTTTCACAAATTTTCATTTAACACAAAAATGAAATTAAAAATCATTCTAAAGGCATGATTCAAGAGGCGAAAGCTTTGTTACAACTACATGTATATTGTGATATGTATGAAACCAAAATTAATGTCGGTTTGACTCAAAATATTTCTATTAACTTGTCATGGAAATTAAACATACATGTAGAATCAGAATATCTCTGCAACTAAAATACTGAAATTCGGTCTTGTTACGCAAATAACTCGCTTTTTTTTTTCAACCGTCCCGCTTTTTTTATTTATCTACAATGTTAAATCACGTAAAGACAGGTAAATACCCTAACTTTTCACACATTTCTTATCAGTAAGTGGCATACATACATGTTGCATGCATACACCTGAAGTATTTAATCTAGGACATTAACAAAGTGCAACTGGTATGAATTTGTGACAAAACAACTAACTTGAGGTAATGAGATAAAAAGAATCATAGTAAAAGAAATATAAGTTTAACAGGGCATTTTGACTGACTTGTATTTTTTATCTGAAGTATTTCTTAACTTGTCTATGATATTTATATAGTAAATTCATGAACATTTCTACTTGTCCATACAGGCTGTGGAAAAACCTGGGCAATACGTCACCCCCTGGTTTTATTGTTTTCTTTCTTATAATGATAGTATTAATGTACAGCTATCTTAATATGCCAAATACACAATGAGTAAACACATGTACTTCCTGCGCTTGCTTTTCCTCAGCATGTCTTCATATCGCCATGTTTCAACAAAAATGCCATTATTTCTCAGCATTTCAATGACAATGCCATTATTTCTCTGGATTTCAATGACCTTGCCATTATTTCTCTGGATTTCAACGACATTGCCATTATTTCTCAGGATTTCAATGACAATGCCATTATTTCTCAGGATTTCCATGCAAATGCCATATTTCTCAGGATTTCAATGACAATGCCATTATTTCTCAGGATTTTCATGTAAATGCCATTTTTTCTCAGCATTTTAAAGATAATACCATATCTTCTCTTCATTTTAATGACAATACCATTATTTCTCAGCATTTCATTGACAATCCCATTATTTCTCAGCATTTTAAAGATAATATGATTTCTTCTCAGCATTTCAATGCAAATTCCATTATTTCTCCATGTTTCAATGTATACCATAATACAGACATGTTACCTAAAAGAAATTGGTCCAGCAGTTAGGCTCCCACGTTTATAATTTTTTAAAACTGTATGCTATGGAGTTTTCAAGCCCTTCAAAAAAGCCGTAAGCTATGTTTTTTGTTTTGGATATTTTTTTGATAGCCTTGAAATTTCTTATCTCATATCTCCTTTTAACTGGGAATAAATCAATTAGAATTGATAAAATTCATGACAACAGGTTATACCTATGATATTTTGTTAACACAAAATGATCATTCCGTTAAATGGTAAAAAATATTGTAAACGTTTGGAATGAAAATCAAAATGAATCTGTTTAAACGGCCTTAACCAGCATTAAAAAAAAAATGATCAGCAATCCATTAAAGACACACATTTCATAAATATTATGCTTTTAACACTCTCTTACTCAATAAGCATAAATTTCCAATATATTTTTCAGTACAAATTGTCTGTACCTTGTTTAAAGGATTTCACAAGTACAAGTGTACTTAAAGTGATCTATGATCAGCTGCCTCTAATAAAATTGTTAATCTTTAGATCAACCTCTTTTTAAACTGATTATTTTGCAAACTTTGCTGATGGTGTTAACATAAAATAAAACCACTATTATAAACAAATTCTAATTTTAACACTATTTGAATAATGAAATAAATAGAGGATATTGAATGAGTGTAAGTTCAATACTAAATTTTTGGGATGAGTTGAATAAAAAAATTTTATTATGGGGAAACTTTGGCGAGCCCTAAAATTTTTTTTATTCAATGAGTTTAAAATTTATTTTCATAACCCCAAAAAAAGGTAATTTTTCCAACCCAGTTTAAAATTTCCCATTTTTAACCCTACCAAAAATTAAAAGGGCCGTTTAAAAATTTAAAAAAAAGTCATTTTTTATTGACGGCCTTAGTATAAAGGGTAAATTTAGCGCGTCCCTTTTCCCCTATGGGTTTTTTTAACCCCCTAAAGACGTCAGGGCAAAAAATATGCAGGGCCCCTGCACTACCCAAAATTTTCGGAGTCCCCCAAAAAACGGCACGGGTGTCTGGGTTAAAAAGTTTCCCTTTTTTCTATTAAAGACAAATAACATTATGTGAAAAAAAAAAATCTACAAAAATTTCTGTTTGTAAAAATAAATATTTAATGCTCAGTTATCTGCAGTGTTTGTTTGCCTAGGATAAATATGTGCCCTTCTTTTGTAAACTATTTTAGTTATGTAATCAGTAAATGTTTCAGGATCTTATTCAACGTACATGCGTGTCACATGTCACGTCACGTTATTCCTAGAACAAATTGGCATGTTTTTTTTGTGCTTTTTTTTTTTAATACAAATATGTACAAGTTACGATAAGCGTAGCTGCGTAACACATACCATCAAACAATCTCTTGCCAAATAAATGAGAAAGGGTTGAGATGCAGCCTTGAACTTGTTGTTTGAATCATACTGAATGAGTGAATGTATATCCTTTAACTACACATCCTTCTAAGAATTCTATATTTAGTTTTAAGTGGGCGGTTTAATTTAAAAGTGTGACTTTTCTACAAATACAAGAATGAACCTTGTCCTTCACAATCAATTTAAGGTTAAGTAAAGTCACACCCATGTTTCTTGTGGTAATCTACCAGTTTTACTGAAGGAGAAAGACCTCAGATACTTTGCTGAAATGAATTATTTCTTCAGGTATGAGCTGGCAAGTACCATCTTACTGTAAGCCAAGTCCTAGTGGTGGGCTTAGAGTACGCATGTAAATTTTCTACATTTCCCTAGCCGGATTCAACCCAAGAGGTTAGTGATTCAAACCTCAGGCACCAACTTTAACTTATATGACAGATAGGCCTCAATCTCAGGCCATGGCAAAGAGAAATCTTTGTTTCATATAAATCTGAATGATTTCTCTAGTGGCTGAGGGTTTGCCTTAAAGGGTTTAGGCATCAGAATTGCAAAATTTACTACTGATTGAAAGAGGATACTAAATGGGTTTGAATTACTGAATTATATGCCAATTTAAAGCTCCCGCAAGAAGAGGTAGTTTTGAACCCCTTGGTGTTTGCCTGTTAAAGTTTGTTAACACCCAAGGTTTAGCCAAAATAATCATTCCTGTTTTGGCCTAAATTGTGTTGGTGCGCCTTTAACCAAACAAAACTGAATTAACACATGTACTTAAATTTTCTTTTAATCATTTTTTCAGATCTGAAATACAAAGAAACATAAGATTATCAGGGATTCAATATGACAATAACTTAAGACAGTAATTAATCATGCTCTTGCTTAAAATACTTTAGAAGCTACTTGATATGAATTTCAAATCATTTTAATGTCTTCAGATAAATTTGCATAACAATTCACGGCAAGACAATTTCATTACAGTTTTAAGTTCTGTACAACCTGTTTTATTCTGGAGAATTTTGAACAGGCAATTTCCTAACCTCCATGTCTTGCCCAAAAACAAAGCCAAGTGTTTAGTTTTTGAGTTTTTTTGTTAAAATTCTGATTTTAACTCTTAAGCCTCCTGGCACAACTACAAATTTTACACATGCGACCAGTGCAGACAAAGAGCAGATGGCACGTTGGTGCCATGTTGCTAAATATATTCAATGATGAATCAATACATATTTTAAAATTTTCCTTAAAAAATTAAGGAACTGGCCTGGCTCTATACTGATCAAAGATGTTTTCAGCCAGTCAAAGGTTGTAATACCAAAATAATATGGTTAAAATGAAATTTAACATGTCAATTGTAAGATAAATCGATAACTTATGTCATAAATCTTCATTGTCGCAACAAATGAAAATAGAAACTTGTATTAGTGCATCCTGACATAAAATCATCTATTTAGTCACATGCAAAATTTATCTCATTGACAAACATAGTACTAAACAGAAAAAAAACAACTTTGCTAAAATGTTGGCAATGAGCCAATTCTAACTAGCAAATTTGGTTCTCTCAGTCTATCGAAACTGTTCAGTGTTAGCTATATTGTATTTCTTCCTAGTACATGAACATTTATATGACATTGGTTACAAAGACAGTGTTCCCACTTATATTTGAAACTGTTAGTAATATAGAATTTTTTATCTCATTAGAAAGAGAAATACATGACAATGCATATAGCAATATGAACAGAGTTCGAAACATTAAAAGCTATAATATTTTATTGAAATTAGACTTTTGTTTGAATGATGAAAGTTTTCGATTAATTGTATGATGCCCTACACAAAGTCCCTCAAAAAAGACAACATGGAATTATATTGTCTTTCCTTGTCCCTATTGTATTAATTAATAAAATTTAATTACAGATATGAAATTGCATGCCATATAATGTGTATTAAGCAAATTTAGATTTTTTTTAAAAATTCCTGACTCGTACACTGTTTATTCACGCCAAAAAACCACTTCATTCGTTCAAGCTAACTCAAAGATTTTTTTTAACAAAATGCCCGGCCCCCTTTTGCTTTCAAAATGGCATGAAAAAGATGTATACAAATTTATTGTAATTTACATGTATACTCTTACAATATCATATAAGTTGCATCAGCCATCAATATCAATTTTAAGACCTTAATTATTCTATGTAAAGCAGTTCAAATGAAATGTATAAATGTAAATTAGTCTGTCATAAAAGAAAGTAAAATTTTATAAAATGTACGTTATTAGTACATGTCATAAAGACCTTCATTTGCCATCTATTTTTAGCTCTCTTATCATTAAAATATTTCTGTACAACATTTAAACTTTGCAGCGCTTGTCTGCTTGTTTTAGGTCTCTCCACACATGTAATATTTAACCGCAATACTTATAAATCCACCATTTTTTTTATAGTGTGACCGAGAAGCACATCTTTACATGAATGTCAAGAGTTTCTCCTTGGCAAATTGAAACCTATTCCCCTTTCCCTTTCAGTAAAGAAGATTTGCCTTTATCTACCAAACAGATACTTTTAGAATATTACTTGTAGTTTTTTTTCACATCAAAAGTTACAAATTACATTGGTTTTTTACTCATTTCCATTAGAAGTGACGATAATTGTTAACTTAACCCTTAGCCTGCTGGCAGTGATGATTCTACCCATGTGATCAGTGCAGACCAAGATCAGCTTGCGCATCTGTAGTGTTCATTATTCAGTCCCTACATATTTTGAAGTTTTCCCCTAAAAATGGGGAATGGCTTATCCCGATTGAAAGATGGTCAAGTTCATTTCAGATATTTAGTGTGTTAAGGATAAGTAATTTTTCATTTGATAATTGAATTGGAAGCCCCCCTAAAAATGGCCCAGCCCCCCATTCTCTTATTCCTGAAACATGTGTTACAATGTCACTGATTGTATAGGGCTGGCATTATGGCAAAACTATTTTCTTAAGTTTCGTAGAAAACTTCTTCATAATTATGCAGAAGTTTTACATCAGGGATTCAAAAACTGATATTTTTTTGTCTATTTACCTTAGAATTCCAGTTTTTATTGAGGTAATAAATACATGTAACACAGCGCCCATCACCACTGGGATTATCAACATGTCGGAGAAATCGCGTTGAGTTGCCAGGGTAAGCTGCAACCATTGCCTGAAAAATATACACATCATGAAAACAACTTAAAAATTACTCAATTGACTAATAATCAACTTGTTAAACTCACCTTTTTTCTTATTTTCTCATTGTTTACTGTTCATAAACAACTTGATGGATGCAATTAGAAGTACATGTACTTATATTTACAATACTTATATTTACAAAAGTACCAAGCACTTTTGCTTATTCTGCAAAATCCAGACATAAAACATGTACACAATGTACATTGTATATACTTATTACTGAGGCCTCAAGACAGTAGACTGATTCTATTTATAGTAGTAGCCTATGCAGGCTGTGTTAGCACTCATTCAGGCAATTGTCTGTCAAAGGCATTTCAAATGTGTACAAATGACTTTAAGACAAATGTTTCCAACCGTTTAAGGCAATTTTCTTGAACCATATACATTGTAGGATATTAAATGTATGCAGGACCTTTCATCCATATTATATTGCATGGTATAACAACCATATAAGACATTTGGTCTTCAACCACATTGTCACAAAATATGCATGTTGCATGCCCTGGAATTAAACCTTCAAGCCTGACCTATGAAGACCTAATACTTTCAGTACTGGGGTTACTAGGTGGGCTTTACTGCAAATAAAATGTTTGATTGCATGATGACAACATGCAAATCTAATTAGCATACATTTTGCAATCCAAATGGGCACATTTTAACATAAATTTACCATTTAACATACATAAAATAAATTAAAGTTACAGGTCAACATACATGCTTCAATGACAAATTAAATCAATCATTCAATACCAATTCTTTTTCTGCTTCCTTTTTAAATATCTTAGCTGCAAATTTAATTTGTACTGAATATATTTCTGGGATTGTTTTTTTCAGTCTCATGTTTTATTTGCATTGATTTTGCAAAAAAAAAAACAATAAAAAAACTTAAAAGCCTAGTTTTACAAATTGTTTTGCTTATTTGAAAAGTGTATGATATATATTTATTAAAGCTTCTAAAACCCTTTGCCTGCTGGAAATTATCAAATATAAGTGATCTGCCTTAGCTACAAATCTCTATGCTGCAGTTTACTTTGTAGTTTGTACATGTAGCTATGCTATTGAAATCCCCTCAACTTTTAATGGACTGTTCCAAATTCAAAGCATTAGTTAGCCTTGTTATTTTCTATAATCGTCAAGAAAAGTTTGCTTATTGGCTTTTGGATTTTGCGCATTACATCTCAGAAATTCTGAAAATTGCTCCAGACAGACGAAAACACTTTTACATGTTATTTGTTTCTAAATAGAATATTACACACATTTCAAATTTTTTTGAAATTCTCTATTGCAACAGCTGCGATGATAATCCTAGAACATCCTAGAATAATAACATAAAACTTTTTTTTCTTTGTTTTTTTACAACAGAGTTCAAAAATGTTCTTGCCAAAAACCAAAATAATATTGACCATAAAGTTTACATTATAATACATGTATATTTGGCAATTTTTTTTCAGAGCTTTTTTTCAGTGTATAGGAATGGACCCTTCTCTGAAATAGGGGGGGAGAGGGCAATAGCATTTCGGCATAAGAGGAAGAACTTGATGTTAATTGAATTTTCGGGGAAAACTGCATGATTTTAAAGTATTTTAATTGTGAGAAAGAAGCCTGAAAACAGCCCATGGGCTTATAAGGAATAAACAGCCCCTGCCTTATAAGGAATAAACATCATATTATAATTCATTAAATTATAATATAATCATGTATTGGTGATGTTTCTAGTTGCTGGTACATTGTATATACTAATATACAATGTATATACATGTACTAGCTGTCTCTCAAACAAACACCTGTCTCTTGTCTACAATGTGTGCCAAAATATTACAACTTAATGCAACCATGCTTCACAAGTTTAATTACTTTTTGTTGGTATTTTTGTTCAAAATAAAAAGGACTTATTAAGACCCCTCTTCAGAGACCGCATAATTTTTCTTTTAAATTTTTTCCAACTTATAATAGTGTTTCAATTTTAACTTGAAGCTAAACACTATTTTTATTGAATTTTTCACATTCTTGTAAAGATAAATTGTACTTTAAAATTATTGTGGGCACTGCTGTGTGCAACCACTATTAAGCTTTGACAAATGGAGACAATTTCTATTTGCACAGTATTACAATTTCAGAAGCAATGACTTAATATTCCACTTAACTTTGTGCATCATCATGCACATAAGGTATGTCTGACATGCCTAATGGTGAAACAACACTCTTGACATTGAGTGATAAGAAAATTTCTCTGCATCTTTGCCTTTTGATTATTTCACTTGAATATTGCACAACACCTTAGCTAGATTCATCATTTGCCAGACTAAACATAATCAATTATTCTTGGTTTATTCTAAGTTGCTATATCCTCCTTCCTAACATGTATTTTTTAATAAGCTATCAATTTCAACACCTTTCAGTCATGAAGTTGAACACTTCATGCTTGTCAACAAACCACAAAAGTCCTTGATTACCAGTATATTAAAGGGACTCCACTGAGGTTTAAAAGCCTAAAAACATAACATTTGAATTTCTTACATGAATGAGCTGGGACACTTTAAACAGAAATATATGCAAAGATAGTTAAGAAATTAATATACTTTGAAATAAATTGAAATTCGTATTTTTATGCTTTCCTGAGTCTGATTTGAGTGAAAAGCGTTTAAACACTTTTCATTTTGGGTCATTATTTTACAATTTGAAAAATTATTCTGGAAAAACAAAGTGTGCGAATGATTTGAAATTTTGCACAAAGATTAGTGGTCTAAACCTTCATCAAATGGTACATTTATCTGGAAAAACTATTTTCCAACCTATCATGTCAAAAAGCCTCAATGGAGTCCCTTTAACTCATATAAATTATAATGTACATGTAAATTAATGAAACAAGTTAGTACATGAATAAAGATTACAAACAATAATACAATAGCATGTACACTTGATTTAAGTTCTGTAGAAATTTAATTTCATTGAATCCTGCAACATTCCTCATAGTTTAATCTCTACAGCCGGCATCCTACAGAGTCTAGCTATTTAAAGTAGCTTTGATAAAATGTAAATTTAATTATGTTATGATGACAAAAAAATTGGAACCTTAAGCTGAATGATATACTCGGCTCAGACTGAGTCAGGACAATGTAGAAATTATAATATATTATAATAATTAAATTATAATAATTAAATATTAATAATAGTCTGACCCCGAGTATATCATTCAGTGTACACCATGGACTTGCAATTGTATTAATTGGACCACATAACATGCCAAGTATGAAATTTTGTGCAGCGATCTCTGCAATTCTTAGCTGCTAGCAAAATCGTTGTCTAAGGGCTGCAAAATTAATTGTCTTATTGGCTGCTGTTGCAAAACCATAATAAAAAGAAATGCTTCAATTTAATCACGAGCACCAGCCTCGCATAAATATTTAGTCCTTTAAAAGCAATTGAAAGCTTTTATTATGATTCATTCATTGTTATTAAAATATGTTATACTGTGATATATACTATTAATAAAATAATAAAGTGCTCATTTTCAATTTAGCCATAATTTTATTCTGATGATAATGTTGGACAAAATTTTAACTTTTTAGGTTGACCATTTACTAGCGTTAGTATCACAACTGGCAAAACTTGAAATGGAAATATAAAGAACCTAATATTTAACACTGCTTGGGAGATCAAATTAATTCAAATCAGTTATACCTTTGATCTTCCTTTAATATGATATTGTCCAAGAGATCTTTGGCAATGTAACATAATAGCGTCTATTGAAGAAATAAGAAAATTAACATTGTTACAACCACGTTCAGACCCGTCTACCCATGTGATAACATCCCCTCGCACTTCATTTCCAGGGGAATTAGTGTTAACAAGTTGTCCACGAGTTAATTCACCATGTTCATGCATCAACATCACATCATCTAGAATATCAGTTCCTTTAGAATCTCCTAAAAAATTGTCTAAAACACATATCCCATAAGAATTAAGACATTTAATGACATAATCACCTAAAGTCTTATTTCTCCCTTCTATAACACTAAGGTATGGCATCTTTTTATCGTTTACTTTGCTAGTTATTTGTGCTTCGGCCTGCTGCGTATAATCTGGGGCATGCAAAACCGATTCCTCAGTTTCAAGAATAAACTTCTCAGAGCTTCCACTTTCAGTTACATCACTTTCTGCATTAAACTGTGCATTATTTTCAGTATTTATATCAGTCTTATGTTGTTCACTGTCACATGGTAAATTATTTTCCGTATTTTTTATCGCTGTGGCTCCATCTGCATGACAAGTTTCAAGTGATGAATCGCAATCACTTGTAAACAAATCATAATATTCGTCTTTTTTTAATTCATCACACTGATGCATAACACGTTTCTTTGTGGACGTGACAGCAGACGATGCTACTTGAGAATCGATCGATAAAGATGATAACTGTTCTCCTAAGCCCCCGGTATCTGTTTTATTGACACTGTCACTAGTTTTCGCGGCTGTTTTCTGCATTGATCTTTTGCAAAAAGCTTTGTGCTCCGGCCAAGCTTGTTTTTGATGATTTTTCGAACAGTATGCTACTGCCCTACATCTAGCACACAATTTCAGGTTGACAACACGCTCACAAATATCACATTTATTGATAATACTGTCTATGCTTGTATCGTCACGTAGGCTATCCGCCATGTTTCCTTGTTTTGATAACAACGCAGCGAAGCGGAAAGTCACGCTTGAACGCGCCGCACGTGGTTTTTCGGAGAAATGAGGGAAAACTGGTTATGGTAGGCCTAAATATTAAAGAAAAAGAAAAACGCCTACTTATATCATTAAACAATCAATTACTTTATTTTCAAATATTGCAATTAGGCCTACAGTACATGTACTTGTAAAAAAAATATTTTTTCGTGTACAGTACATAAGATGTACTGATATGGAATAGCGTAAATAGTTATCAGTATGATTTTCAAAATTTAAATGACACTAAAAGATCAGTCATAAATAGATAGATCTATGTACGTGAAAGATAATAATGCACTTTACTTGTAGGCCTGTTAATTTTTATATATAAAAAATCAACTTATGTTCATTAAAAGAAGAAACGAACAGTTTTGTTTGTAGCAATAAATTATGCACACACGCATAAACTATCGGTCAATATATAAAAATATACAAACTTCAAAAGGAGTTGTAAATAGAATTTGTGTAAATCTATTAAAATTCTTGAAATATTGAAAGGAAAATAAATTTTTACTTTTGAAAATATACGTGCCTAGCTTTCTTTTGTATATAACTACGTATAGTAATCTGGAAATTAAAACTATAGTAATCTATAAGATATACTAAACATTAACAACAACATCTCTCAAGAACATGAACAAACACAAACCAGACCAAACACCAAAAAGCTATATTCACTATTAAAACATTCAAAACAAGATTCTTTTGGCATTGACTCACTGAAAAAACACAATAAACTGTATACATCAGATCAAGACAAGGCAACAGTACTAAATGAACAATTTCAATCAGTTTTCACTTCTAAATCCCCTGTTTCTCTTAAATTCCTTGCTGATATGAAGGTACAGGATCAGGCAGATACAGGTAGAGAGGTTCCCCACACACCATTTAGCCCCCATAACCCCATGCGTGATATTGATATCTCTGTAAAAGGTGTTGAGAAGCTTTTAAAAAACCTCAACCCCCATAAGGCTGCAGGACCTGATCAAATTAGACCCATTGTGCTCAAAAAATACCAGTAAAGAATTAGCTCCTATAGTGTCCAAACTTTTCCAGAAATCACTGCAGTCCAGCACTCTACCAGACATTCTGGAAAATGGCAAATGTCGCCCCCTGTCTTTAAAAAAGGTAGTAAGTCAGACCCAGCCAACTATCGCCCTATCTCTCTTACCTGTATCTTGTGTAAAACCCTGGAACACATTGTCTCCTCCAGTATAACAAAGCACTTTACTAGATCAAACTTGTTCTATGAATTGCAGCATGGTTTCCGAGAAAAAAGGTCATGTCAATCCCAATTATTAATGCTTATAGATGATATCCTACAGTCAGTAAATCAGAGAAGCCAAGTAGACTTAATCCTTCTTGACTTCTCTAAGGCCTTTGATATGGTCAACCATGAAAAACTCCTGTATAAGCTGCATTTCTACGGTATAAGGGGTCAGACTCTGAAATGGATCAAAGGTTTTCTTGATAACAGGTCACAGTCCGTGGTGGTAAATGGCTCCACATCCAGCTCCATACCAGTCTCCTCCGGTGTTCCCCAGGGCTCGGTCCTCGGACCTCTCTTATTTCTTATATACATAAATGACCTTCCTGAATATGTCCAATCCTCTAAGGTCCGCCTATTTTGCTGATGACACAGCCATCTATCTATCTCTGACTGTCGCTTCTCATTCTAGCTTACTTCAACATGACTTACACCAACTTGAACAATGGGAAACAAAATGGGACATGCAATTTAATCCATCAAAATGCCAGGTTATCCAAATCACAAAACGAAAAAACAGTCATTCCAACAAAATACCTCCTACATAACACCACATTAGAAACAGTTCCATCTGCAAAATACCTTGCATTACAATATCAAATGATTTAACATGGAACAAACACATAAACAACATCACAACAAAGGCGAATCAAACACTTGGTTTTCTACGCCGAAACATCAAGGTTCACTCAGAAAGGTTAAAGTCAAACCGCATACAAGACACTTGTCAGACCCCAGCTTGAGTACAGCTCCACGGGTCTGGTCCCCCTACACAGGAACTCTCATTGACCAGATAGAGTCAGTCCAGAGAAGGGCTGCTAGGTGGGTCAAACATGACTTTGGCGTATGTCAAGTGTCACTGACATGTTGACTTCCCTTCAATTGAGGCGCCTTGACCTTCGGCGTATTGACCAACGCCTGGTCATGTTCACAACATCCTGCATGACCAGGTGGCTATTCCTTTCCCAAAGTATATCGTCCCTCTTACAAGATCATCTAGAACATCCCATCTCCATGCATTCCAACAAGTCCAAACTAAAAATGATTACTATAAATATTCATTTTTCCCAAGAACAATTGTCCACTGGAATGCTTTACCACCTGAAATCATAAACTTGTCTGGCCCCGAGTTCAGTCTGGCTGTAAGCCGGATTGAACATACGTCTCCCTAAAAATACCTTTTCTGTTTTTAACCTGTTTTTTAACAATATACTCATTTCCTTTACTTTTATATTCTTTTTTTCAACTCTTTTACTAACATTCTTGTCAGTTGACGCGCGTCAAGTCTAGGTCCCAGCAGGGGTTGACTATATGGAAGATAGATAGATAGATAGATAGATAGATAGATAGATAGATAGATAGATAGATAGATAGATAGATAGATAGATAGATAGATAGATAGATAGATAGATAGATAGATAGATAGATAGATAGATAGATAGATAGATAGATAGATAGATAGATAGATAGATAGATAGATAGATAGATAGATAGATAGATAGATAGATAGATAGATAGATAGATAGATAGATAGATAGATAGATAGATAGATAGATAGATAGATAGATAGATAGATAGATAGATAGATAGATAGATAGATAGATAAATAGATAGATAGATAGATAGATAGATAGATAGATAGATAGATAGATAGATAGATAGATAGATAGATAGATAGATAGATAGATAGATAGATAGATAGATAGATAGATAGATAGATAGATAGATAGATAGATAGATAGATAGATAGATAGATAGATAGATAGATAGATAGATAGATAGATAGATAGATAGATAGATAGATAGATAGATAGATAGATAGATAGATAGATAGATAGATAGATAGATAGATAGATAGATAGATAGATAGATAGATAGATAGATAGATAGATAGATAGATAGATAGATAGATAGATAGATAGATAGATAGATAGATAGATAGATAGATAGATAGATAGATAGATAGATAGATAGATAGATAGATAGATAGATAGATAGATAGATAGATAGATAGATAGATAGATAGATAGATAGATAGATAGATAGATAGATAGATAGATAGATAGATAGATAGATAGATAGATAGATAGATAGATAGATAGATAGATAGATAGATAGATAGATAGATAGATAGATAGATAGATAGATAGATAGATAGATAGATAGATAGATAGATAGATAGATAGATAGATAGATAGATAGATAGATAGATAGATAGATAGATAGATAGATAGATAGATAGATAGATAGATAGATAGATAGATAGATAGATAGATAGATAGATAGATAGATAGATAGATAGATAGATAGATAGATAGATAGATAGATAGATAGATAGATAGATAGATAGATAGATAGATAGATAGATAGATAGATAGATAGATAGATAGATAGATAGATAGATAGATAGATAGATAGATAGATAGATAGATAGATAGATAGATAGATAGATAGATAGATAGATAGATAGATAGATAGATAGATAGATAGATAGATAGATAGATAGATAGATAGATAGATAGATAGATAGATAGATAGATAGATAGATAGATAGATAGATAGATAGATAGATAGATAGATAGATAGATAGATAGATAGATAGATAGATAGATAGATAGATAGATAGATAGATAGATAGATAGATAGATAGATAGATAGATAGATAGATAGATAGATAGATAGATAGATAGATAGATAGATAGATAGATAGATAGATAGATAGATAGATAGATAGATAGATAGATAGATAGATAGATAGATAGATAGATAGATAGATAGATAGATAGATAGATAGATAGATAGATAGATAGATAGATAGATAGATAGATAGATAGATAGATAGATAGATAGATAGATAGATAGATAGATAGATAGATAGATAGATAGATAGTAGTAATCTAGTTTTAATAAGATAATTACAAAAATATGTTTTAAAATAGGTCATATAGTTATAAGGCACCCGTACCATCAAGTTACGAAATACTGTCCCAGTGTTCCATCATTTGTATTTTATCGATCCTTTTTCATGAAATTTAAAGGTACATGTATATCTATGCCTGTCAAAATCTGAAGGACCATTTGAAATGTTCTGAACCATAGTAAACGCGCTTGTCCCCATTGCCAGTATCAGTCATCCCGGTTATAATCCTCACATGTGTCCTGTATACGAATTATGCCATGAATTATGCTTGATATGCTTGAAAAAAAATCCAGATCTTCATTTCCATTTCAAGGTCCTCAAGTTGACCTCAACACGTCTTCTTCGGACCCATTGTATACGCACCGGTCTCAAATATCGTCAGTAAGACTGGTGTACACAATGCTTCGGACCCTTTACGGGCCAAACCGATTTTTCATCCACCTATCTATAATTTCTTGCAGGATCGGGTTGCAAATACAAGTTAGTATGAAGTGACATTATGCTCATTTTTTCATTGTCATGTAAAAAGAATTGTTGAAGTGAATTGAATCTAATTATATAGATTTTTCCCAAATGATTGACTATGATCAACAGTTCATTTTGGAAAATGTTTTGGATCTTAAAAAAAGACTTGCCGTACTCTTTTTATAAATTGGACGTTAAAGGTAAATTCCCCCGTAAAATTTTTTATGAAAAGGTCCTTGGGCCCAAGGGTGAGTTAAATTAAATAAAAAAAATTTGGATGGATTTTTTTTGAAAAAATGAAAAACTTTTTTTTGATTTTTCATTTTG